ATTGTTATTGTACGCACGTTATCTTTGTAGTGCTTGAGAAGCTATTTCTAATAACTAAAAGGCTGGTTTGAAGCATTGTCTCTAACTTCTGTAGCCCAGGGATGTTACTATGGGCTAAGCAAAGAAACAAACAAAACCTGAAATTTTAATTACAATGCAACAAACCATTACTGTTCTGAATACTTCTCTGGGCATAGCTTGGCTGCTGTATCTGATCTGTTAAGTGGTTTAACAAGCCTTGTTTGTCTTATTTTTAGCTGGCATGGAATATAATAACATTAAGATGATGGTTGCAGATGCATTTGCATTCTAGTAACAAATAAATAACTTCTTAAAGAAAAAAATACTGTTTTAGAACTTTGAACTCCAATATTGCAAGAAGATGGACAAAATATTTACTGGGGGATTGTTCATTAAAAAAAGAAAGGAGGAGGAAAAACAGAATGATGTAAAATTGCACGGGATAATGCAAAATAATAAAGAAAAGTTAAAGAGTAATACTGGCTAGTTTCACTGATTAAAAATGAAACTTACACATTTTAGCTTTACACGCATTTTAATGTCAAGCATGAAAAAAAAAAAGTAGTAATAATTTCCTGGTTATTCATTTGCCACACAAACAACTTCTGTCCACCACTGACACCATTTTTTTCGTTTCTGTCTCCCACAATAAAGGCTGGGATACCTACATGCAGTACCAGCTTACCTCCATAACCTCCATCCGTGCTTGCTCTTGCAGTGCAAAGTGTCTTTGACGGAAATCCTGTGACCAAGCTGACTTCCGCTCCTGCAAGCCCGCTCCCTCCTCCATTTCTTACAGCTAAACAATTCTGCTGCAGCTTGCCTACATGCCTGTAATCCTAGCTAACTTTTTATTGCTTTTGACTAACCCAATTCAAGCCTTCATTTCTGCTGTCATGTATTTGCTATGTCACAATTTTCTTTACATATGTTATTATTTCTACAAGACTCTAAGTAATAAACTTCTTATGTACACATCCTCTGTAACTCCATCAATTGCTCTGCTGTCCCTCTTCCATTTTATTTCCTGATCACCCTCATGCCCCCTTTTTCATACGTTCACAGCTTTTATCATACACTCTGCTCTGACCCCCAGCATCCACAGAGATGCACTTCAACCTCTTGTACATCAATCAATTAATTCAATATAATCCTTCCGTAGAAGCACCTCTTCTCATCTCATGTTTGTAAGTCTTCCAACCACACCTCCTATCTGGTTGCAGACAGGAGATGTGGTTGGAATTCACTTCAAACACAGTTTTGCTTTCTCTACTCATCTAAAAGCTTCTCAACACATCTTAAACCAAACTCTTTTGTCTCCAGTCACTTTTAGCATAGCTAGCTTCCCTCTTACCTTAGCTTTTGCAATTATTCTCACATACTGCTTTTTCCCCAGCAATAGCTTCCCTTGTGTTTCTTTCCTGTGTCTGCAAGAACACCAGTGAACTCTGCTATAATTTCTCTCCTCCCTTCCCTTCTAGCTCATAGCTCATTGTGCTAATTGACAAATACAGATATGATTGCCTCATATTACTGTCTCCTTTCAAACTTAAGGTGTTCCCATTGCAATTTACTGTCGTGTAATGAGCGTGTGCTAGATAAATGATCTGGCTGAAAACCAACCACTTTTCAGCTGAGTTATTTTACAACTAACTGTGCAAAGGAGTAGGTGGAACTTCACAGCCAGGAATGTGAGTTTTAGATTCAGATTAGTCCAAACTGCTGTGACTTCTGTGAGTCACTGGTGTGGCTGGGTATCTTGCACAAGCCCTTCTCATCTCAGTTACTGCTGATATCTTTTTCTCTGATCACAACATATAAATCATTCTCTTCCACTCAGATTTTTTTTTTTTTGCGAGTGTATTTTATTTTGTAGACCATCTTTTTATGTCAATTCTCTATGTCTTTCCACATCAAGTATTTTCTGCTCCACACAAAACATTTGGTTTTCAGTTGTAAGCCCATACACATATTGATCAAGTTCTATTTACCTTTTGTTCCACAAACAATAGCTCCTACAATGTAAGTCATCTAAAGCAATTGAATTCTACTAAGCCATTTTAAAGTAAAGACTCTCCTGCTCAATTCCATGATTTTGCTTAGGATGCATTCATGTTGAATACCTGTCGAGGCTAGCATAGGCGTCCTGTTCTCTGTAAAGCTCCTACTCATCTGTACATGGGCATAGCATGTGGATACTGTATATAGATACTAGACACCCTTTACTTCTTAAATATATGTCTCTACCTTATTTCTACGTAGCATAAAATAGAGATAGTAGTGGAAATTGCTTTTCGGAATTGCCAAGCTGAGAGACTGAAATGGGATTGACCAGAAGAAATCAACAGTTGGAAGAGATTACAGATCTGAAGAAAGCGTTGTTAAGCACATCCATGCAAGAGCTACAAAAGGAAAGCAGATAGTTCAGCAAAGCAAAAAAAAAAAAAAAAAAAAAGAAAGAGAGAGAAAGAAAGGAAATGGAAACCTATGGAGAACTGCAAATCTAACAATAAATCATGCAAGTCCTTAGCAAGGCTTGATAAAATACAAAAGAGATATTCAGAGCAATGACTTTTGCAGAGAAATTAATACACTATATCATTAAAACTACCCAGATTACATCCATCATCTGAACCTAAGCTTAGACAACAGACTTTCATAAACTGCCACCCATTTTGGTCTACTCTTGCTGCTGGTCTATACACTTTTAACTTCAGAGCACATTTCTGCATTCAGCTGCCACAAATATAAAAACCTGCAAGAAAGAAAGTAGTTAGTGAAGCTTAGCAGTACTTATCTTTTCATCCACCCCATTTAAGTCCAGCTGCAGACATCAGTTCAGTCTTAGCTTCCCCCTCTGTGACTTAAGCAAATGCAGGATAATTTCCAATTGAAGCAAGCTGATGGTTCTGTATAAATTAACACATACAGGTGATAGCAGCTTTAGGTACAGATCTGATTACAATCTAAGCCAAGGAAGCCTGAAAGAAGCCAACAGAAGATCTCTTGCTGGATGTGGGGTAAGTTTCCTCAAGATGATACAAAGTAGGGAAAAGAACACCTTACAACAACAACAACAATCTTTGTTTCTAATTACACTTAAAATGTAGTATTAGAAAAAAAACTTTAAAGGCACAGTCTTGTAAAGATAAGTATCTTTACCAGAAAAGAGGTACACAGCCTGTTCTACAGAATCACAATTTTCAAGCCTGCTAGTTAGATGCTCTTTCTATCGTTCTTACTGGATGTGACCTCATATAACAGTTTCATAAACTTTACAATTAAGAGATGGTTGTGGAGCTTGTCCACAGTTGCTCATTTAGATCACCTATTTTCAGATTGTCTTAATACTTTTCAAATTGTGAGCAGCAAAACATAAGGGAAAAAAAAATGATGGAAGCAAATAGTTATGTCCAAGGATTTAAACTTGAGAAATTTGTAAGAAAACCTGTTACAATTCCAGTAAGAAATAGGAAGCAGTTTTGCTTGCATGGGAATCAAAGCAGAATGCTCAGCCTGAACCAATTAACATGGCTCTCATGTCAAGTACCACAAACAGCAAAGCAACACAGTGGCTTCAAATTCCTGCTTGTGGATCTTTATATGATATGATCTTTACAATACTAAGTATGATATATATACTTTTTGTTCCTCTTAAGATGTCTGACTTATAGATTAAAACTGTTTTTATGCTGAAAAAAAAAAAAATTAGCTTCTTAATCTGAATGTGCTGCATTGACTTTATTTAGTAAACATCTTTAATGCTCTACCCACATGATGCTGCATATAAAACCAAATATCCCACAGTGTGTTGTGATTTTAGCAAGGTGCTACTTCGATCTCACACAGGATAGAAGTTGACCTAAAAGTGGTTTGCTGAAGAACAGCCTGGATCCTGGACTTCATAGCTCGCAGAATAAAGGTAAATAGTGCTGCTTGTCTTCATTACACCATGCGCACTTCCTGAATTGTAGCAATGGTGCAGGTAAGCTGGGCCAGAGGATATATTTGACAGAGGGTGGGACGCTCCATTACATTTACATTTATCACTGCAAAAAGTTAAACTGTTACTTTTAGCACCACCAGCAAAGGGTTTCATGCGTCTGAATTGTTTTAAAGAGGCGGTAGCAATCTTTGGCTCTCCATCTGAAAGCTGAGCTCCGTGCCTTTGCTGCAGACAAATGAGATATTAGGGATGGTACATTGCACAAGAATTTAAAGCACTAACACAAGGAGCGTTGTCTACTGCCCTCCTCACGCGGGCATTGCCAGCAGAGCCGGTACATCCTTGGGCAAAAAGAGCGCCGGCCCGGGCCCGCTCAGGGCTCCAGCTCCGGGTTATGTAATACCGACTCCAGGTTTCCATCAAGAAAACAAACTCCGGCCTTCTCTGTTGCAAAACCAGCAGAGCTGGAAACATGTAGTAAACCTCTCTCCCTGGAGTGACTGAGTCAGCGCGCACCGCACCTTCACGGAGCGGCGCCAGGAAACGCAGCGGCGCTGCCATAACCGCGACTCACCGGGACGGGAGCGCTTTGCGGCGGACCGTTAGGAGGCTGCTGCGGGCAACAGCCATCGCCTCACGCGGGCGTTGCGCCTCGGGCTGGGCTTCACGCCCGGTCTATTATCGGGAAGCGCCTCGAGAGAATAACGCAGTTGTAAGTGAGCGCGGCAGCCACCCGCACGCCCGCTTCTCCACGGGCGCACGGAGCTGTGGACGCTGAGGTGAGAGGCGCGAAGCCCCCGCACGCGCTTTCCCCCACAACTCGGTCCCGCGGGCCGCCATTCGCCTCACCCCGCGCGCCCCGCCCGCCCAGCGCCGCGGAACCAATAGGAGCTCCCGAATCTTACGAGTGACAAAGAGCGACGGCCAGCCAGGAGACGTCTTGTTGCTGTGTGGCCCAGGCTCCGGCGGTATAAAGGCGGCCACGCGTTAAAGCTTCGGGCCGGAGAGTACGTGTCTTGGGGGGAGGAGGAGGTGGCGGCGGGGCCGGTGCGGAGCAGCCGAGCACCGTGGGGGATTTTAATCCGATTCCGGCCGGCCCGGATTTTATCGCGAGCGGCTTTTAAAGTGAGTAGGGGCGGGCGGCGGCACGCGGGGGGAGGGGCGGCGGCGGACCGGATCAGACCGGCCCAGCCCTGCGGGGGGGGAGCGGCCTCGCTGACCGCCGGCCCCGTTGGTCTCTTGTAGGCGCCTCACGTCCCTCTCGCCTCTGCGGACGGGGCAGCATGTCCGAAGCGGAGCAGCAGTTGGCGGCCGCCGCCGGCGCCACCCAGAACGGACACGAAGCGGCTGAGAGCTCCGGGGAGCAGCAGCAGGCCGACACCGGCGGGGCCTCGGCGGCTTCGGCGGGCACAGCGACGGCGGCGGCGGGAACGGCGGGAACGGCGGCGGCGGGAGCCGGTCCTGCGGCGGGGACGGCGGGGGTGGCCGCCAGCCAGAACGGGGCCGAAGGCGACCAGATCAACGCCAGCAAGAACGAGGAGGACGCGGGGTAAGCGGCGGGCGGAAGGCGGGAGCGGGCCGCGCCCCCCCATCCCTGCCTCGGGCGCCATGTGCGGCGGCAGAGCGCGGCCTTGGGCCCGGCGCGGCCTTCGGGCGGGCGGAGCGTCCCGTCGGGCCCGGGCCCCGCGGGGGTGGACGGCGGGCGGCCCCGCGGCGCGGCGCTCGGGCGGGCGGCGGAAGGCGGCCCGCAGCGGCAGCGCTCCCTTTGTTCTGGAGCTGCCTTTTGTTGGCGCCATGTGGTGGCTGGGGGAGGGGCGGCCGCGGGCCCTCGCCGGCTCGCGCTGTAAAATGGAAGGGATTTCCCTCGGCGCGCCTCCCGCCTCGGCCGCTTTAAAGCAGAGGGGAGGAGGGAAGGAGCAGCTCGCTGCCCGCGGTGCTGGCTGCGAACTTGGGCTTCGCGGAGAAATCCCGCCTGTCGGCAGAACGCGAGCGTGCTTTGTGTAGGGCGTGCGACATATCGGGGGTTGGAACCTGACGGTGGCAGTCTTAAGTATTTTGGGAGGAAGGAAGGGAAATGCAGCACGAGCAAAGTGATGTGCGGTGTGATGAAAAAGTAAGAGTGATTTCGGTTTACGTCTTCGCAGCATTGTCAGAAAACTGGTTATTAAGAGTGAACTGGTTATTAAGAGTTTTCTGGAGGACTCGGGAGTTCTGCTGCGTTTTAGTAGGAACATTCATACACGAAGAGACTAATTTATTCACGATCGCAGTCGATTCTTTTCTTACTTTTTGAATATGTACACTTGGCATGAGATCTACCTGCCTGTTCCTGCAGACTCTTTGTGAGCCTGGCTGCTCGCGTATTTAATTGGAACTTCCTTTGTTGTCACTGGGCCCCGAGTCGGGAGTCGAGGGTCGTTTGCCTGAGGCTGAACAGAGCTGAAGCTGCAGCAGTGCGATACATTTCTGTTTATAAGGGAAGGAGTAAGAGTTATACGAGCTTCCTGTAGCCTAGGGCCGGATGTGCCTTTTTTCACAGCATTAAAGGATTGAGGCCTACACCTGTGTAAGCTGTGTGAATTTTCTTTTTACATCCTTAGTGTGCAGCATTCCCTGAAAAGTGGATGATGTCATATCCTGTGTGACAAACAGGACAACAAATTTCAAACCCAAACCTGTAAACTGAAGTCTCTAAAGAGAAAGAAACCAAGAATAAAAAAAAAAGCATAATTATTCATAGGGATTGTATTGAGTGAAAATTTTCAGCCTGTACACAAGACTTGCCCAAGATAGAGTTCGGGACATAGGCAGTAAATACAGTTAGTAGCTGAAAATTGCTTTGATTTGTGTTGGTATTCTGGGGAGGGGAAAAAAGAGATTGCATTAGTAGTGCAATGTCCAGTTTGTGGCTGCTGAAGGGGAAGTGAAATACTAAGAATTGATCTTAATTTCAGAAGCTCTGTGCTGTGGTGTAGAAATATATGTAGATGTTGAGCATACCACTTTAAAAACCAGAAGGCTGTAAATCAGTGTGATATCTACTCCCGTGGTAAGCGATTATTTTAGCACTGGCAATACCTGTGTGCAGTCCCATCCTTAGGGCATGCCTGAGCTGCCTGCAGATGAATTCCTGTCATCCCCCCTTTGAATTTCTCTTGGATCTGTTCTGTAGGAACATCTGGTAAAACCAGGGCATGCTACTGAAAACAACTGTCAGTCTGTTTATGTTTTGCATGGTTGCTTGGTCAGTAAGCGATTTCAATGAGAATGGAGCCATCAAGTTACCTTTTATCTTTATTGAAACGTTTATTAAACTCTGGAAGGCCTTCTCTTTAAGGCCTCTATTTTAAGGGCTGTAAGAAGCACGGATGTGACTTAGGCCTTAAAGACTAAACTGCACTACTTAGTTGGGAGTGCAGCTGGATCTGAAAAATTACTGATTTAGCCTGTGAAGGATATGGTTTTCTCCAGTAAAATGAAAAAAGTCAAGCAAACAGATCAATCACTTTGCAGATCTTTTTCTCAAGTTGCTACTTGATCCTAAATGGAGGCTGGTTTTGGCAGGTTAAAGTTATACATTAACACCAACAGCCAATTTTACTTAGATGTAGGCTAGTTTATAAATTGCTGCTAGCTTCTATTGCCAGATCGTGGTTACCTCAGAACAGAGTAGTGACAACTTAAACTGCTTTAGTCTGCAGTTAGGTAAAAAGGCTCGCATGCTTTTAAAAGCTCGGTTTGTTACCTTGGAAACTCTGAAAATAGAAAACAATTGTGCTATTAATGGTATTATTTAAGTGAGGCATTTGAAAAGTGCCTTGTTGACTGATCTTAGTTTTGTTTAGTTTCAATTCTGTATTGCACTTGAGTAGTTTATAGTTCTTTGTGATACTTTAGAGGTAATCTGTGTGGGAGTGTGGGTAAGGAAGAACTGTATCGTGGCCTCCCATGAAAGCAAAGACTGGCTTAATATTGTCACACTGATGAAGATGGAACTAGATTCAGGAAGCGAGCAGGAAGAAGTGCACAGTGTATTTGTTAAGGCAGGTCCAAAGTCCTGTCTGTAGGAGACTGATCTTAGATGTCCCAGATGTCTCTTAAATATCTCTTAAGTGGTAAGGCTAATATTTTTACATTCATTTCTCCAAATTAAGACAGATCTTAAGTGTTTTGATTTTGGTGCCCTTTTCTAGCCCGAGTGCTTTCACAGCAGTATGTGTGACCTCAGTTCCTTTCAAAAAGGAAAAGGCAGTAATTGATAATCAATACTGCTTCATTGTAAGTAACAGAATGACAGCGGAAGAACAGAAGTTACTGGTGAGAAGCATTTGAAGCAATTTTTCCTGCTTTTTTGACAGGACCTCATAAATTTCAGTGTACTGTAATTCCCTCAAAGAAGAGGGAGGGGAAAAAGAAAAAAATCAAACCCTCGTGTGTCCCTGTAGCGTTAGTTTTTGACAAGATGCAGAAGTGTTTAACCTTCAACATTTGGACCTGTTCTGACAATGCTGCTGAGGCTTGTGCTGCTGTGAACATCTTCCTGCATGTGCTTTTCGGTAGTACTTCCTGAATCTAAACAGCTGTTCTCTTTGGAATTTCAGGAAAATGTTTGTTGGTGGCCTCAGTTGGGATACAAGCAAAAAAGACTTGAAAGACTACTTCACCAAGTTCGGTGAGGTAACTGACTGTACGATAAAGATGGACCCCAACACAGGGAGATCCAGAGGCTTTGGATTTATACTCTTCAAAGAACCTGGGAGTGTTGAAAAGGTGAGTTTAAGCTTTGTCCTCAATTTCTCAGATTCTTAAATTAGAGGGAAATTTTCTAGCTTAAGTTAATCTAATTAAATTGCCTCTTAGGTTCTGGAACAGAAAGAACACAGGCTAGATGGACGACTAATTGACCCCAAGAAGGCCATGGCAATGAAAAAGGATCCAGTGAAGAAAATATTTGTTGGTGGACTTAACCCCGAAGCCACAGAAGAGAAAATCAGGGAATACTTTGGCGAGTTTGGAGAGGTGTGTAATGCTAACTGAACACTGAAATGCAGTATAGTTAACAGTTGCTGTTTAGATTACTATGGCTTGCAATTATTAGTAATTTCAGATGTGTCAAGCCTTTTGTAACTGATCCAGAGGCTTCTTATCTTGAAGCAAGGCAGGCATTGCACTAAATGCTTATGTTGCTAGTTAGATACCTCATTTGAACTCAAACCATTCTATTTTATGTTAAAATTCTTTTTAAGACTTGTAAAGTTAGTTGAAGCCTCTGGTTTGAAAGCTAAGCTTTCTATGGGAGGAACATTGCAACTTCAGTGTTGCTTAATATGTATAGATAAACTTACAGTTTTACTGTACCAAATGCTATGCACTTTATTGTTCTGCTAAAATTTGAGCCTAAGACAGTATTTCATGTCTTTAGATTGAAGCAATTGAACTTCCAATGGATCCAAAGACCAACAAAAGGAGGGGGTTTGTGTTCATCACTTTCAAGGAAGAAGATCCAGTGAAGAAAGTTTTGGAGAAGAAATTCCATAACGTCAGTGGAAGCAAGGTAGAAACTTAGATTTGTGAATCTTTGACCAGGCTGTTAAGCAGAATACCACTGTCTTTACTCTGAAAAAGATTTTTGTAAAGCTATGATTCCAGAGTACTCAAAATTCAATAAGGATAGTGTGCAATTTGCTGTATTATTTTCTGCTCTGTGTTCAGCCACAGAAGCTGCTAAGGTTCTTTGCCAGTATTTGCGGCTTTAATATTTATTAAGTGCTCTGGGCTTTTATAAGTAAAGGATTTAATTAATATAATTACATATGTATGGAAAAACTGGCTTGTTTATATATCAGTATGGTGATATAAGCCATCTGAATAGATTCATGTTCTATTTTTCATCATAGAGTAATTGCATAAATTCAAGGCTTATTGGTGCCTTATGCTGAAGGGCCCCTTGAACCTCATCAGCTGTCTGTGAGAACCACTGTAACAGTGGTGTGAGATGCTCTGGTTGTCTGATGCTGCTTATCTGTGGGAGCAGCTAATACAGGTTAAGGTGTCGAGCTTATGAGGACTGGAGGCAAATGATGTACTGGCTGGAAGGTGTCCCTCTTTTGCTTTGTGCTCAGTGCTATCCATCCATACACTAACTTCAGAGTCCTATCAGAACTTTTCATACAGCCCCACGTAGTAACTTGCATTGCATGTAGATTAAGACAAGATTACTTTACGCAACACAGAGTAAAGCTGTGGTCATTACCTGTTCATTTGGTTTGCCAGACTCTGTAGTTAGCCATAAAGTTCATAAAGAGGCAAAGGATTGGGTGTGAGAAGAACTGAGAAATCATATCATTAAGTCTCACATCTGTGGCTTGTTTTTATCATAAGATAATAAAACCAGCACCTTACCTTAAAGCAGGATCCAGTGTGAAGAATTCTAAGCAAAGTTTCCTGAGGTACCATCGCAGGGTGGTATTCCTCTCACTGCTTCATCTCCAACCATACACCGATCTAGGAAGTAGAAGCTGGCTGATAACTTGAAATAGAGCTTGGGGGCCAGTCCTGGAACTTTTAATTCCAGTTATTTTTAACTATTTGTAGTATTGGAGAAGTTATGTTTTCAACTGTTGGTGAAGTGTACTTCACAGTCCAACATACTCATAGTACAGGCTGCACGAAGGCTGCCAGGAAAACTCATTTGGCTTATTTTTCAGCCTTGTTGGTAGCTCTTCAGTCAGTGCAGCTCAGGTGAAGCAGTTCAGCAGCTTAGTCCTAGAGTTTGTGCAGATTGGGGGACAGCCTTGTAGCCACCCTGCAGGCAGTAGTGGCTGTGCTGAGGTGACCTCTCCACTTTCCTGTGAGGAAACTGATGGTGGGGAAGGGGTGGCATAAAGTACTCTGATAGCAGTAGCTGGCTTGAATGGCAGGTAGTGACTGACTTACCTTGGCCTGAGCAGCATGATAAATCAGATGCTTCTGGATGTGCAGTAATACTGGCTGCGTGACAGGGAGCACAGCATGAACACCTTTGCCTCTAGAATAACCTCTGGCTTTCCTAGGTGGCTAGGTTTGAGCAGTGCTGTTTTAAGACAAGTAAGCACATTCCTCTTTATTCTTTCGTTTCAGTGCGAGATAAAGGTAGCACAGCCAAAAGAAGTATACCAGCAGCAACAGTTCAGTAGTGGTGGAGGAAGAGGTAGCTATGGAGGAAGAGGCAGAGGTGGAAGAGGTGGTGGTAAGTATTGCACACACTACTTTAGTATGGACACATTCAAACTAAGCTGTGTGTACTAAAATGGGATTTTGTGGATGGTTTTCCCTTCTATAGCTCAAAGTCAAAATTGGAATCAAGGTTATGGCAATTACTGGAACCAGGGTTATGGGAATCAAGGATACGGCTATCAGCAAGGTTATGGTGGCTATGGAGGCTATGATTATTCAGGATATGGGTATTATGGATATGGACCAGGCTATGATTACAGTAAGTAAAGAACTGTATTGGGTATAAGCAAGCGTAACTAATTAGCAGTTTAATGCATTTGTTCTCTTGTTCATAGGTCAAGGCAGTGCAAATTACGGGAAGACACCAAGGCGTGGTGGCCATCAGAATAACTACAAGCCATATTGATCAAACTTATTCAGGTATGCAGTGGCATGGTCTCTTTTGGAAAATGACTGCATAGGTTTTGTATACAATGCTGTAGATGGTATTTCAGTTCTGTACCAAATTTAACTTTACAATAAATTTCTATGGCCTGTTAAATGTGCATCTTACTTGGAAGAGCTCCTTGGAAATGTTTTACATGTTTAATACTTACAGATAACTAGTTGTTTAGACAGTGTGGTGTGTAAATTTCAGCCTTGCTGAAGATATTAATTAATGATTTTATTAATAGGTTAAACTGAAACTGATTTTGAGGGTCTGCTTAAAGCTGCAGCTCTGCATCTAGGGACTGCCTCTTGGAGTTAACTATGGACTCTGCATTACTCCAGTTGTACAGAAAGAGATGCATCTTTAGGGAACCAGTGTCACTTTCCACCTTTTTATTTTGTATTGTTTTTGTGTCATACATTTCCTGTAATGGAAGTGTTAATTTTACTGTACTTTTTGGTACCTTTTTGGAATCTAATGTATTGTAAGGTATTTTACATGTGTTCTGATTCACCATGACATGGATATTGAAGCTATCCTAGCTTTTGAAATAAAAAAGGCGTAATCTAGTGTCTCGTGCCATTCTTCAGCTCTATCTTAGTAAAACGGCAGTATGTTTTTCCCAGAACTTAGCTCATGGCAGTACCTTGCTAGATGAAGAGTTGGGCTTGCTGCTTTTAATCTGGAAACGAGAGGGCTGTGTTGGTAGGTCGTTGTGTTGACTTCAGCAGTTAAGTGAGAGCTGAAAACTGCAGTCACTTGTGCCTAGAGGCTATGGAAGAGAGCCTGGGCGGAGATCCCAGCTGTTGGGGCTGCGCTGGTGGCTCAAGTTCTAGACAGGTACAGAGGTAGTTGTACTAACTGCAGTAATGGCTCTTGTGGGTGGAGCCAAAGGCTTAGGTTTCAGGTAGGGTTTGGCAGGCAAGACAGCCTTGCAGGAGGAGGCTTAAGAGGTATGCAAGAAGCTAGCTGCTCTTCCTTCATGTTTCAGCCTCTTGACTCAGAGGTTTCTAAAGTTCTTAACAGTATGTACATACGTCTTGAAAGACAGGTTAGACAGACATCAAATTATGAATGCAAAGCTTCACTTTTTGCAGTCTTACTGTGTATCAAAAACATAGTAAAGAACTTCCACCTGAAGCTGTGGGAGGAAAAACAAGGAAGGTGCATCTAATAATACAACTATTTTTCTAGAGATACTCTTTCCTTTCTATTGATTACCTTACCACAGTTTTTAAGAAATAACTACTATGTGATTTGCTTGTCTGGTTGCAGAGTAGTCCCTGTCTTAAACTTAAAAATATTCCAAGTAGCAAGTACTGCTGCACAAAGTAAATTTCTAAAAATTTCTAATCTCTGTTAAAGTAATGTTTTTTTTTTTGTTTTTTTGTTTTTTTTTACTTCAAAAGTTGATATTTTTCTTTAACACACGATTTGATCCAACAAACCAGCAGTGGAACCAAATCAAGTAACTACGAAAGGAGAAAACCATGTTAATAGTGATTTTTACTTCTTTTTTTCCATGAGGGAAGCAGCAATTCCTACAGGAATGACAACGTGCTGCTCCCTGCTGGCTGTCCTTGAAATTAAAAACCATAAAGTTAACCTCAGACAAGTCTTACAGACTTTTAAGCTGCACTCTTGAATGTAAAAAAGAGTGAAGCAGATCTTTTAGTTGGGTAGTGGGCACGTGAGCGTTATAGTTGATGTGTGTAACAAAGTGCCCAACTTGAAAAACATAAAACTAAACAGTTGAAACAAGTAATATTTGGAAGGATTACTCTTGAAGATTGGCAAGTGAAGTGCTCTATTCTGTTGCATCTTTTTACTTGTTTTTCTTTTGAATTAAGGGTTAGAATACCTTTCCAGCAGGTGGCTTGCCCACTGAAGGGGGATTTGGACGGTGTTATGCCAGAACCATACTGCTGCTGTATTTCTGTCTAGTTTGTTAGCAGTATCTTATCAACCTGTTACTGGTTCCCTTTGGAAGATGATCCTCAAGTAATGCTTCATTTCAGTGGTTGGACTAGATGATCTTAGAGGTCTTTTCCAACCTTAATGATTCTATGATTCTTTACAGGTGATGTGGCCTCATGCAGAAATGGGTTACTAGCACTTATATGAAGAGCTTGCTTTCCCTTTCTTGCATGAAAGGTGTGTGATGCAAAGAAAATCTTACTGTCAGGTGAAAGCAAGGGCTTGTACACAGAGTTGTATCTGAAATGGCTGTGACATACTGTTCATTTACTAACTGTACTCGGATATTTCCTGAGGACAGTATTTCCTAACAACAGCTGTGGGAGCTGTGACTTTGAGCTGTCTGTTCCTCATGAGATGAAGCTCTTTACTTCATCTGCTCATTGCGAGCTTGTTGATTAAAGTGCTAACTAGGAACTTGTCAGCTTGAAACTGCTTCCTGAAACTGATCAGAGGAGCCTGAGAAAAGCATTTCCAGGAATGGAGTTACCACTGGTAGCAGCAGATAACAAAAAAAAAAAAAAAAAGCCAGTTGGCTCCTCTTAATTTTTAAACAGGCACGACCTGAAAGAGCAGGAGTTTGGAAAACATAGTCTATAGTAGCTACTAGAAAGATGTTGCTTTAAAACCAGTTTTAGATACTATGTTAAATAAAAGCCAATCCCACATCTGCAACAGTTGAATATTTATTTCTCCTAAAGCTTTCACTTAATAATAAGATAACTGAAAATAACAAAATCAAAGGTTAACTTATCTGGTCTAAGACATAGTAATATGAGGATTAAATGTACATTATCACAGTAGAGTAATTTTTCTTAGTAGGTCTTGAAACATGTTTGAAACCTATGGAAAGAAAATAATGTTATGTTTTTCTTACAAAGTATCGTAAAGCAAAATCTCTTTCATTGCCTTGTTTTCACTTACATGCAATGTAAGTGTTGTACTGTACTTAGTGAGAGGCTTTTTTGCATTCTTGCTTTTCTGTAGAGGAGCATTTTTTTGCTTATTTTAGATTTGCAGATAAGCATATTAAGTTATTAGGTGTCTGAGTTAAACTGATTCTGTGAGTCATCCCTCTGTTCTCAAGAATCCATAGTACTAACAGTTGTATGTCTTTTTTATTAACTTGCTAAATAAAATATTAACACACTTTTCTTGTGCCTGCTATACTGCTATTGCTCTGAACCAGAAACTTGCATTTCCTTAGCTTAGGGCCACAGCACTGTGACTCCAGCATGGCGCTTGAGGCCAAGTGATTACATTCATAGCCCCACATCATAAACTTTACTGGTACTTGATTAAAGACACATTCAGTTGTCTTCTGGTAGGGAGTTGGTTTAAGGAAGTACCAGGCGTCCCAAAGTGTTGTTATCAAGGTGTTAAAGTAGCTTGATGTTCTGCAAGCTACAGAAGGACCTCAACAGATCTCAGAGTTAGGAAGACTTAACAGGTATTTGTCTTACTAGCGCCCCAAACCTGGTAGGCAGAGGGGTAAGCTGATGCTGATTCATGAAGCAACAGCCACGAGCTTGAAATGATTCTGTGTGATTCAAATAAAGCAGGGGCTGCAGTAGTTTTATGAAGGGCTATAAACAGTACTATCCCTACGAGATTAAATGGAGGTTCCCAAATAATGGCATGCAAGAGGTATAGTTTTGGAGCACACATTCTTAGGGGCAGTTAGAGAAAGACTTGCTGAGAGGTCTGATCCATCTGACTGTAACCAGGCACCGTATGAAGCTACAGCTGCTTCTGCCTGGAGGCTAAAGAGCAGCTGGCACAAGAGCTGTGACAGCATGAGGCATTTCTGAGATATGTTCGACCTAGCTTGAAAACAAATGAATTCGTAACAGTGTTACACTAGAAGTATCAGACCAATAGAAGGAATAGCAGTGAATTCCAGATGCAGCCAAGCATAGTGCGTGCTTCGGGACTGCCAAAGAGCTCTGAACTAATTTCGAGTAAAAGCAACTGAGAAAACTTAGTCCTGCTCTACTGCCAGGGTCAGTGCCTGTGAAGCATGTTTAGAAACATCAACTTCTAAACAGTAATATAAAGAGTGAATATAGATAAATACCTGCTTAGGTTGAGCCAATGGATGTTTTCTCCTGGTTCAGCTGTTTGTTTTCCATATCTGGAAGGACACCAAGCAACAATTTAACAAACTTGCAGTTGACACAAAGTTTTAGACTAATTTGTTTAACACTGAATGTGCACCAGTTGTACAAAAAGCATCAAATGCATCTAGAAGATGCCTCTCACCAATGAAATTTGCTTAACTTTGACAGTTGCTGTAAGTGAACACTACCCTCTGCCAGAGCAAAAAAAGGTGTACATGCATCCTTGGAGTAAAAAGTTCTGCTAGAGAACGTGGATTGTTCGGAAGTGAAGGCTAAACTCTCAGTGATTGACTTTCCTATGTGTTTAGTGTCTGTCATTTTGGCTTTGTTTCAGGACTTCTGAAAAGCAGGTTCAGCTGCTCAGTCCAACAGTGACTGCTATAAGGCATTTTTTTTCACCTGTATTACCTGTTAAAAGCTTGTCAATGGTGTCCACTACAAATTTTGCATCCTCCATAGCGAAACACATTGGGGGCTTGAATTTAAGTACATTTCTTCCTGGCCCATCTGTACTCAGTAGAATATATTCTTCTTTAAGCCTGGGAAGAGTGGTGACAGAATTATTTTCACCTTCTGCACATAGCTCAGAAAACTTCAAAAACATCCTAATGGTGACTGTCCAGACAATGCTTTTCAGTGCTGACTGGTGCTAATTTGCTGTACTTCAGCAGCTAATGAATGGCAGGCTGCTTTGAAACTGTATGTTTGTCTAGCACACTGAAAAGCCGTGTGACTGTTGCACAAACCTTGTTATTAAATACTCTGCTTCTTCTGTGGCTGGGGTCCTTTTTGCTTGATCTTTAATTAAGTCCACTCCAATGAATAGGCCAGAACCTCTTGGAAAGAAATGTAAATAGTCAGACTGTGTCACAAGAAGGAAGTGCAAGTGAACTAAAGGAGTGAGAGACACAGTTAAGGTTTGGTCTCAAAAAAGTCTGAGAATTGGGGATGGTTGTTGGCTACTGTTAAAAAAAAAAAAGAAAAAAAAAAGTATAGCAATCTTGCAGAAATATGGTAGTATGGTATGGGCTTGTCCTGTGCTGTCATTCTGAGTATTCTGTAACACTTACAGATTGTGTTCTTTGTGCACTAAACTACTTTTGTTTAAACTTCTGTCTTGACAATTGATAGATCAGAAGTGTTATACTGGCCTAGAGTGGCAAAGTTTATCATACTTTTGATCAGCTCAAGTATGGTTTAATCCAATGGACAGTAGGGTGCTGGTTTTTGTTTTTCTTTTTGCTAATGCCCCAGCTCTGAACAGTTTCATAGAAATACAGTTTTCTTAAACTTGGTGATGTTAAACTAAACAAACCAAACAAAAAGCAGCTAAAAATGTAAATAAGGCATTGCTACCTGACATCACCAATGATGGGGTGCTTGATTTTTTGCTCCACGAGTAGCTTCATCAAGAAGTTGCCAACTTCTGTGGCATGAACCTGAAGCTGTTCCTTCTCTATCACATCCAGAACAGCTAATCCAATGGCACATGAAACAGGGTTTCCTCCAAACTGAGTTCAGGAAAGAAACGTGCAGTCTTGTCAATGAAAGCACAGCCTCAGTGATAACATGAGCACACTAAGATTTATGTCTGATAGTCAGTAATTAGAAAGCCAGGTACCAGAAGGATGCAATTAATATAAGCAGTAAGTGTGCGGGGGATGAAGATCAATTAAAAACAAACGCCATGGTTCTCATTTTAGTACTGACTCCTGTTTTTAAAAAACGAAACAAAAAACAAAACACAAACTGTGGTCGGTTTTTACTTACTGTGTTGAAATACTCGACTCCTGTGGCTGCAAATGCTTCTGCGATTTCTTTTGTTGTTGCTACGCAGGCAATAGGGTGCCCATTACCTATGGGTTTCCCCATAGTGACTATGTCAGGTATAAACTCTTCTCCCTGAAGCTGGAATGCCCAAAAGTGCTTGCCAACCCTGCCAAAGCCGACCTGAATTTCATCAGCAACAAATACACCTCCTGCCTTGTGCACGTGCCTGTAACATAACAGTGATTATATGTTAGGAAGGGAGTAAACGTATTTTCTGTTTTGCAACATACAGAATAATTTGCAAACTTGTTGAAAACAAACTTTGTGAAGGAAAACTTCTATACCAATGTTTAAAAAGAGGCCATGGCCCCACTAGGATTATCTAATGTAAAAGCATTCATCTTTCATCTAAAGCTATATGCCACAGGAGACAGAAATTCTCCTGTCATCTGTACGTAGTACAGATTTTATGTTCTGCAAGTGAAGATAATGAATGCCTGACTACTTACTCTGCAACTTTGTGGAAGTAGCCTTCTGGTGGGATGATTTGACCACCGACGCTTGGCAGAGATTCAGCAAAAAACGCAGCAATCTGAAACATGGACTGCATAATGACTGACCACAACAGAGACGTGTGTGGAAGTTGTGTGAACAGTCAGCATTGACAAGCACCTGTACTGATCTCTTATGCAAGACAAAAGGTTGAAGAAATCACTTCTTACCTTTCTGCCTTTCTTATGTGCTTGCTTAATAATATTTTCTACTTCATTAGCATAGGCTGTTGCTGGATCTTCATGGTCCTCTCTGTATAGTCCCCTGTATGTGTCTGGAACAGGAGCCTATGCAAAGGAACAGCATTCTGTGTTCGGTAAATCATAAATAAGTCTTCATTTAATTTAATCAGTCGTTACAGGCTGCAGTACATACCACGTGGACCCATTCCTTCTGTCCTTCTAGATTTCTGAATTTATATGGGCTTATGTCAATCAGGGATGTCAGATGTCCATGGTAAGCACTTAAAAAACAATCAGCAGAGCTAAATAGTAATTTCCTCATTATCACAAGTTCTTTAGGCTTAACAGTACTGACATCTAAAGAGTAGATGAGTTACATCACCTGGTAGGAATACACTTACTAGTGAGAACAGCTGTAGGATTTCTAAGGGATGTAGGCAGACAGCAATCCTTAGCACTGGTTTTCCAGAGCCAGCAAGTAGAATTACAACAGTGTAAGTCACAGATAGCATTAAAAGACTGCAGGAGTCGATGTTTCTGGCCTGCTTCTGAATATCCTCCAACAATGGAATTTTCAGTTTCTCTGGACATCCTGCTCTAATATTTGCCCACCTTTATGGCAGAAGAGCATTTTCCTGTCTCATCAGAATTCTTCAGATTTCTCCGTCTGTCTGCTGTCCCTTTTTCCTGTCACTGTGCAGCTTCAGACCTGGCTTTGTGGGGTTTTTGTGTGTGTGTGTGCCTTCTAAGAATAAACAAACTCAAGTTTTTGAAACCTCAAATCTAGAGTTTCCCCTCCTGTAAATGACAGCAAAGTGCTGGCTTTGTTTCAGCATGGCAAAGCCTGTCCTGTGCTGGAGAGCCCCAGCTGAATGCAGTCAGTACTTTAGGAGTGGTTTCACAAATACTGAGCAGAGGAAAATTCTCTCAACTTCTTAGCTACATTCTTCCTACAGTAACAAGTGCTCGGACCACAGATATAAACTGAGCCTTGTAACCTACAGTAGATAAAATTGCCAACATACTTACTGGTCTAGAACTATAACGTCCTCATGCTTTGTAAACTGTCGTGCCAGTCTTAGGGCAAGATCATTAGCCTCAGATCTGTAATTGAAAAAACTGGTGTTTAATTGCAGATACCCGAGGTTTGAAACTTGCAGAGAACACAGAACTAGATGCAAGGTACTGTCAGAGCCCTGAGTAATGAGTAATGCTCTGCACTCATTAGGTAGAACTGCTTAACAGAGTAGAATCCACCCTTAAAAAGCTGGATTGCAGACACTATGTGGAAGCAGTTTCCTTTTCATTTTAATGCGTAGGTTGCTTGGGAATACAGGAGCTTCCCATAAGTAGAAATGTGCATTGTAACACTGAATTTTGAAAACATGTCAGACCAGAAACAAATACAGTAAACCTTTATGTTAATGTAGTCCAAGGCCTAAGAATAAAAAGCTGTACAAATAAAGCACTAGCTCAGTTTTCTGACAGAGAGCTTGGTGAGTACAAACTTGAGATCTGCTGATATTCTAAATGATCACAGTTTCTTCATAATCAAACATCTTCAATTCCTTTCATTTTTTTTCTAATATAGTCATCGCTCCAGAGCATGCAGCTGGCTGCTGTACTTGTCTGTACACAACCAGGGCAAAAACAGTAGCGATTCTGATACAGCTGACTTACCCAGAATTCAAGAAATAAAAGGTGCACAACTTCTCAGGCAGCTTTTCTGAAAGTCTCTCTGCATAATCCGTCAAGTTGTCATGAAGATAACGAGAATTTGTATTTAGCAATTGGTTTTGCTCGTGGGCTGCTTGTACTACATCGGGGTGACAATGTCCAACTGAGAGAGGGGAGAGAGAGGTTTGAGAGTTCTTTGTTATGCACGGTGTCTTTTAGCAGGCACATAACGTCTTTGTGCTTATGTTTCTCCTAGCAGTACAGAGCTACTGTCAGTGTTGTTCGTATTTGATCAGTTAGGCATTAATGGTGTTATCAGCATAGGACAACACTGGTATGCTTTGAAAGCTATCCTGGAAAACTTCCATTGTTCAGAAAGGTTTAAATTGGTTGTTGTATTTCAAGGCTGGTGGTTAAATACTGCAAGTCGATATACTGAAACAAACAGCATCTAATTTTATACTTTGAATTTAGACATTTGAATAGCTGTATTTACAGATAAGCTTTACCATCAAATAATTATATATTGTCGATATATATTGTCATTACATATTGACAGTAATATATGGTATGACTGTCAGCCCTGACCAGCAATTTCGAGTACTGTAAGAAACAGCTACTTCATAAAACACCAATACTGCACCACACTGGGCTGTGGTCCTTCAGTAGCACCCTTAGTGCCATCTGTGAGTACAACAAACTGTCCTTTGTTAGTTTTACAGTCAGATCCTTGACCTGAATTTTCTTGCACAGAGCTCTGTGAAGTTTAGATAGGAACTTTTCTGTGAAGGTAGAACAGGAAGCAAGTCTGGAAAGCACCACGTTGATGCAGCAATCCAAACGTGAGCAGAAGTTTCTCAAACTATAGGCTCAGTAAAAGTTTCTTCCGCTCCTCCAATTAAACAACCACTTCCCCCCACACCATGGAACAGTGGTAAAGAGTACTGATTGTTCCTTGCTCTGCTTAGTAAAACATGGTATTGAACAATAGAACTTGAACTTACCATGAGCAACGTTGTTTATGCAGTCAAGGTATTGTCTTCCGTTCTCATCATACATGTACTGGCCTCTTGCCTTTACAATCTTCAGCGGATCATTAGGATAAAACAGTCTGCAAGAAGAGCTGTGTAAAGCATCAGAAAGCAAAATAAGCCTTAGTGAAGTCCCCCAGTCATCTAGTAACATTCTCAGTGTAGTTAATAAAGAGAAAGACATCATCCTCCTGGCCCCTAAAAGCACAGCTTAGGATGGAGAAAAGAACAGTCTGTGCTCTGACTCGATAGCCAAGTTTCGTTAGGCTTGCAGGCACAAAACCCCATTCCTGAACAAAAAATCCTTCACTGGCAATCCCCAACCACAGCACACAGACAGGACTTGGTTCTGAAGTTTCATCTGAAACTACAGTTCCTTGGTATCTATGCTGGCTGCCCTCCCTGTTTTTTAAACTATTTGTGCCTGTCTCTCATTAATCACTTTTATTATACTCCTGGTATTCTTGCTGAAGGCACAGCGCAGCTGATTCTTACATCTGTACAGAGCTTCACTAACGCTGACAAAAGCCTTGAGTAATTTATTTAAAAGTAATTTATAAATAGTAATTTATTTAAAAGTCTGGGCAACGTATCTGCCAAAGGAGAGCTGCAGGATATCATTGATACTGAAGGACAGTGCCAACCTGTAATACCTCATTTAATAAGCATTGCTTAGAAAAATAGAAGGGACATAACACTGTATACTGAGAAATATCAATTAATTAAAAGAGTTGGTTAAAATAAGACAGTAGTTCACTGTCCGTCCCCTACAGGAATCTTACACCGTCCGTATGCACTGGCAGTAGGATGTCAGAACAGGTTTGTCAGTAAAATCACGCTGACAGTTCAGCCTGTGCTAAGAAAGCAGTAATGAGGCTGGGCTGGATCCCCAGGAACAGAGCAAATGAGTTACAACAGGATGCAGTGCACAGGGCGGTATCTTCGGCTCAGCGCGGCCAGCACAGATCTGGTTGCAGCACTGACCCCAGCCTGCTTTCTGTCGGCACGAGGCTGTACGGATGGAGGTAGCCTTCCTTTCCAAATATGTAACATTCCTGCGGTCAGACAGAAATGCTCTTGCTGCCGTTCCTGGTAGCATTCTCCGAACCAAGAATTTTTAAAATCGTTTGGAACAAAGCGAGTGATTGAAAGCCTGGAGATGAGTCTTGTGCTTAGTTCTAGTGTGTTAATTCTGACGTTTTCAGCTCGGACAGGTGGGCTCTCGTTCTGTGTCAGCAGCACCAGGAGCCGCTCGGCAGCCGCGTGGTTTGCTCGCTCAGAGCCAAGCGGCCAAAGATCGCTTTGTAAGCAGTTCTGAGCTCCAACAGCCGCGCCGTGCCATCCGTGTTTTGAGGGCTCTCGATGCCTTGTTTCATAACCTTCCTTAAACGCTAATTATACGAGTAAAGCCCAGGCTCCGCTCGCTCTCAGCACCGTCTCTCTCCCGAAGTTGCAATTCAGAGCAGGGAGCGCTCGCAGCCCCGGAGCGCCGCGCTCGCAGCCCCGCTCTCGGTAGGACGCTGCCGGCACTTACCCGATGATCCGCCGCCGTAAGGACAGCGTCTCCTGGCGAGAGCGCTGCGCTCGCCTCATGGCCGCCGTGTCCGCGGCCCGGCCCAGGCGGGAGGAGCCCGCTTAGGGCGGCATCCCGCCCGCCCGCCCCGCCGCCGCTCCCCCTGCGGGCCGCCGGCCGGCACTGCGCTCCGTGCCGCAAGGCGATGCTGCGGCCCCGGCCCCGCCCGCTCCCGAGCCCGCCCTCGGCAGCACCGAGGGGAGCGGCGTAACTCACCCGTGCCTCGGCCTGCCCTCCGTCTGCTGGGCTGGGCTCCCCTAGGAGCGGGAGTGGTGACTTCACCCCGCGGGTCCTATTCGCTCTGGGAGGTTCTACCAGCGCTCGGTGCTGGCAGCAGCACACGAGGCTCAGAGTGATTTGTGAGGGTAGCTAATTAGGGGTTAGAGCTGCTGTGTTTAACACGCCGCGCTCCTTAAGCGAAAGTAAAACAAACCTCTTGTATGGTTGAGCTCCTGTGTCTGCTCCCCTGCAGCTGCCCCAGAGGCAGCGGGTGGGATAAAAGCCAAGCGCTGCCCTCAGGTGAGAGGAGATGGTCCTGGTCATGTTGGGATGGAATTCCCTAAAGAAAAACACAGAGATAAGAACCAGAGGGGACACATGTCTGGCACTCCGCTGCTGTAGGTGCTGTATCCCCAGCAGAGCCGTCGGCATGCTCCACTCTAAAAGATACCAGATTTCTATTTTTTCTTTTCAAGTATGTGTTTGTATTCATTTGTTTTAAACTGACAACAACTGAGAGGACTCAGACCATTTGACTACATACCCAGCAGACCAGAATTATTTTCAGTTGCAGTTACTTGGTAAAGACAGGAGCAGTTTAAGTTTTGTGTTAATACAGGGAATCCCAAACCAAATTGCCATAGATTTAGAACTAACTGAGCTTCAGTGGTAAAACTCAGATGTTGCATAAGTCAATTTTGAACTGCTGAAATGAACTGAAAGACAGTAGAAGAAATATGAATAATGGCCATTGATCTTTATTTGAACTCTTGTCTGGTTAAGATACTTTGCAGCTATTTATAATACCAACCGGAACATTTACAGTTTGCTTATTCTTGGTTACAAATGCAGAGTTCATTGTACATATTCACACAATTGTAAAAGCAACCTGTACAGAGAGACCATTTCTAAACACCAAGCCTTTGCTTTTACTACAGAAAGCACAAGGAAATGTTTTTGGAGGTCTCGAGCTGATGTGCTGTTCATTGCAGCTTTAAGCTAGAAATACATACTGCAGGACTAATTAATAACCATTTTAACATGTTAAAACAATGGATACGAAATACTGTCAATTAATGCCTTCATTTTTAAAACAGTTGTTCCCCAAAGCAGTGAGTAAATAGAACACTCTTCATAGCATACACAATTAAAAATTACAACTGTTGCAAATAGAAATGTTACTCACTTTTTTTTTTTATATATTTATATGTATATATATATATATATATATATTTTAAAAGTGGTACATTTTACAGAGGCTTCCTCAGCTTTGCATACGATACCACGTAAATACAGCCACACAAACTACTGCTCAGGGTGCTTAGCATGGACACGTGTGCTGCACACAGCCCTGGCAGCTCCAACAGCTGCCCCGAAGCAATGCAGCCATTCCCGTAAATAAGGCTTGCATAACTTGGGAGAGGATTAAGCCTTATCAGCATAATTTCAAACGGGTACAGATAAAACTCATATTGCATACATTTCTCTCAATTGCGTTATAAATAAATCAGATTTTCAGTTAGGTTTTCATACCAGCAGCTACAGTTTCTCTACTTGTATCATTTCAGAAATGGCACCTAAATGCTAGAGGACAGACCGGTGTTAAAAGATCTGTATGTCCAAAGCAACGTAACGTGGCAGAGCTGGTGGCTTTCAGTTCTGACCGGTTGAATATTTGTCATATTGAGCATTTTGTTTTCACTAAGATACCAAAGAAGAACGCTAAATAGCAATGCAGGAGTTGCTCTGTTATGAAATTGCCTATACCGTGGCATTCCATGTATGAAACTGCCCAGCAAACACAACAGGACTCCAGCTCCTTTTCTGACTAATGGCAATTTACCATCTCTTCTGCCTATTTTGGAAATTCAGTGGGTACCTGCAAAACCAGGTCCTACCTTTATTTCATAGCAGAGAAGCAGATTTGAAAAGCACCCCCTTCATAAACTCATGTAAAATGCACTTTTACAAATTAAATGTACAATTCAAAAGAACATAAAAACCCACACGTTCCTGGGTACACAGAACTGTACTTCAGATGCTTGGGACATTTCCATTTTAATCTTCATTAACAGCCACGTTACATAAGAAGCCACACACAGACACACAAGTTCACTGTGTCTGTTCCATGAAACAGCAACTGAGGACTCCTACCACAGCTTAGCGAACCGGGATTAATTGTGCTAAGACATAGGAAAACCGCAAATGTTAACGTATTTCTTATTCTGCTCTGCTGTCAATAATGCCACTTCTTATGCATTGAAAACTCATGTTTCCCAGCTCCCCTGCAGTTTTCCCCCAAGCCCTCTGCAGCAGTATAGAGTCCTAAGGTCTATCAAGGCCGTCTCCCATTCATTTCCAAGTGTCAGGTTTTCAGCACTTGCTTTAGCTGCAGCTTACGCAACAGTCAACCCTTCTGGTGTGCCATCTGATGAATGAAAGCATGGGAAAGCTGCAGTGGTTCACTCGAGAACATGAGAAGCAATGTTAAGTTCACAGGTACAAACTATATACTTACTGGTTTGCTTCAGTACGTTATTTTTTTTTTCTCCCCCAGCTGTTATGAACAAGCCTAAATGCTGTTCTGTAAGATTGCTGAGCTCAGTGTATGCCACATTGATTGTCTCACTGAAGTATCTTAGGCCTCTTCAAATCTCATCAAAATACTTCATCTCACTTTACAGTCTACCTGGTTAAGCCTGGCGATACAACCAAACACACCACCAAGTACATGATGAGTCAACCTGAGGGCCTGCAGTGAGGCCAAGTACAGTACAGGGCCTTTCCTGCACCCTGAGGATGGTGGGACCAAATCTGTGCCTGGCTGTGCTGGCGTAGGTCGGACCCAAACCTATCCTGGTTCAGCCACTTACATACAGTATTAATTCAAGAAAAGCAGCCTGGGGACACTTTATTTTTAATCATGGAATTATTACTAATATTTTTGCATATATTCATACAAATCTATTGTCTGTAAGGAAAGTAATTCAGAGCTTTCAGTCTAAAAGTTTAGAATGGAAACTTGGCTGGCAACGTCCTTTTATTTGCATAACGCTTCAAATTAATTATCTGGGCAACAATTGGATTATAAAGAAAACGACTGTGTTTCCCAAGAGGAAATACAAGAATTGGGAAACATATGAAAGTTTCTGTCTAAGCACTCCTGCTTTGCGCTGGTTGATTCGAACCTCAGCTGGCAAAGGTTTGTCTGTGCCTATGTATGCAGCCAGTTATGGAGCAGGGCTGTCATTTCTGGGGTAGGGATGGTTTCCCATCATAGCACCGAATTTGTTGCTGTTCAAACAAGATGGCCTCTAGAGGGCAGCATGAAATCAGCATTCAATGCCCAGGAAAGCCATGCTCCCACATGCCTTTATGGTGAATTCACAGGACGCATTTATTGAGAGCAAGGATGGCTGCTTACCACTACAGTGAATCTGAGATTTTTCTGGCATTTTAGCATTGTAATTAAGTTAGGTGTTACAGCTGGCTGAATTCTTTCATTCTGGCCCCCAGACCAGCAGACAGGCTGTCCTACATGAAAGCTCATAAAGAAACATGCTTCCTGGGCACTGGGTAACTATAACCATCAGAAACACCAGCCTAGCATCCCGGGTCGTTGTCCATGGAATACATTTTATCATTGCATAAGCTGCTTTGAGCCACTGAAACCTCACGTACGTTTTGCTGGCTTGTTAATTTCAAACGCAGAATGTAGGAAATGACAGAAGATTAAAAAAAACCAACTCAGTTAAGTACTTTAGGTTTTCTAAAAAAGAAAACACATTAGGAAGTCTGTTATAAGAAACATTCCTATTTTAAAATATGCAGGAGAAAAATCTGTATGAAAAGAAACTCATTGCCATTATATATACAGCAAGAATTAGAAGCAGAGTATACAACCAAGCCTTCCCCATGACAATAAAACCAAGTATATGGCTTTTTGGGTTGTTTTTTTTTTTTTCTTTTTTCTTCTTAAGCTAAAATCCCAGCGCATTGGGTCTTGGAAACAGTTTCAGTTTGGAGTCAGACTGGATTTTATCTACCACCTGTTTCACAGCCCAGAGAAATAACACTGGTGAACTAACTGGCCCAGCCTGCAATTAGATCAGCTGCAGAACTCTAATTAACCCCCCCTGCCCCTCCACTCAGGCTCACACCACGACAAGGGCACTGCTGGAGCTGCCAGCACACTCCTGGCACCAGACCGGACCTACAAACAGGGGCATTTTTGACCACCAAAACGCAGACACAGCTGAGCTCTGGGCACTTGGCCACACTCACAGCAACACCGTTCCTGGAGCACAGACAGCCCTCACAGCTGCATGTCCTGTTCCTGGGAGCAGGCAGACAGCATTATCTGGGCCTAATGGGAATCACCACACTTCTAAAGTCAGTTACATCGGACCACTAATGTTCTGTAAACTAGAAAACTGGAATAAACGCGAGTTTGGCTTGGCTTAATTTCCCCCCAAGACAAAGAACTTTAAGCGTTTTAACCCAAATATTTGTTCACTGATGAATCCACAAAGCTCACGCACCAGCCACTGCACTGATTGAGATAAATCAATTGCTCAGTCACACTGACCTACATTTCATCGCGTCAATCATCTTTATTGCTACTGACATCTAGTGGCAGCACTTAGCTGCATTTTGGATTTCCTGTAAAAATTTCTTACCTTCTCTCAAGCCAGAAAAAAGGGAGAATTCCTGGGGGAGAAATGCACTGTGCTCTGTGAGTGGCTGAGATCATTCCTGAGTTTGGACTGAGACCACTAACACTGCCCAAAAGTAAAATTCATCTTTGTGAGCTGTTTGCATATTCCGTGTTCTAAAGAGACCTACGTAAACATTTTCATATGGAAAGAGAAAATAATCAACTGATCTGGCATGAATCTGCTGAGCAAAGCACATCCTTTTTTAACTCTTCCCAATAAGATCATGACCGCCCTGAAACAACTCTTCATTTAACAACCTCCCCTAAATGTGCGTGCATGGGAAGCACATGGATCTAAATACATTTCCTCTCAGACTGTGCAGTCAGTGCAAAAGAACAGTTACTCTAATATGGTTTTTGAGTTTGTGCTGCACGATGGACGAGAAACACTGAGCTCAGAATGCACAGGCTAAGCACAGCGGTCACTGTGCAGGACCAGGAAGGACGAGGAATACAGGTTACAACTGCAGCCCCTGGCAGTATTTGTGCCTGGAGATCTGTGCCATGCCCTGTGCCCTGAAGCTCTGCTTGCCCCAGGTTTCAGCTGCTTTGGTGATGGTTGGGACTGCCTGGGACCAGCAGACCTGTAACTAACCCCCTACTGGTTAGTTCCTCAAAGCTGGTGAGGATAGGTGCCACATATTGCAGGACTTGCCCCTGCCAGCACTTCCCATGGAAACGCAAGCAATAGCACACCAGAGAAGCTGCTTTGCACAGGCTGCTGGTCTAGACACACGCAGTATATCTGATGCATCCTGAGCCACCAGACTTGCTGCTTGTGCATAGGTGGACCTGCTTTGTACGTGCAGGATGCACCATATTCAGCGTGCAGCACAAACCCAGCAGAGGGCCTTAACCTGGGGATTTTCAAACATTACCTCTGCGGTGTCTGTCAGCCGAGGTGGCAGCACTGATGGGTATGGATCAGCCACAGCCCCGTGCTAGGATGCTGCTTCCAGCCTTCCTCCTGGGCTGGCACGGGAACATTACGAGGGGATGGGGAGGAAAAACCCCTGTGAAGAAGTTCAGTGGCTTTAAAAATAGCTCTCCTGCTCTGCTGAGAGCAAATGGCGTGGGTTCTATGGCACCAGGCTCTGTGTTGGGAGGGGGAAGGCGGCCATGCACAGCGGTTAGAGCAATAGGTAAAGCACTGTTCTGGTATTCTGTATCAATGTTTTGCAGGCCTGGCAGTGGTCACAGTTGATGCCTACAAGCACTGGATATTCCACAAGTTGAAGACGGAATACTGACTTGTTTACCTGAAGATAATAGGACTTCGGGGGTATTTCCTCAGAGAAAATATAAATTTTAATATAATTTCATAAGCTTTGGAGGTTAGCTTGTCTTGTAGCTTCAGTGATATCAAACTTCTTTGAGTAGGAGCTAGATAGAAAGCTGTTTAGTTTTTGCCAGCATATGTAAAACAAGACTTTTCTATCTGCATTGTAGATTGTTTGTGGACACTTCCAGATTCTTGTGCTTTCTGCAGTCATTCTGGGGACTGAACTCTCATTGATATCGATAGAGGTTCCATGAACAGGACATCTGCAGGATACCGAGTAGAAGCCCACAGTGTGGTTTGGAGTAGTGAACTGCTTTAGTTTGGAGATGACTGGGGGAGATGGGAAGAGCAACTGTACATTAAGGGAACAATGACAGATCTTCCCAGTGACATCAATGAGAGATTTGCCTTCGACCTTCCACAGAAGAATTAGCTTTAATTTGGGACAGCAAAGGGGTTTTTCAAAAGCATTAAAAGCCAGTGGGAGCTCTTTCAGCAGCTCCTTTCGCCTTTAAAAACCCTCACACCAAAAGTAATAGCTAACGTCATAAAATGGAAGTAAATAAAATGCATTTTCATTGCTGTTTGAGTTACATAATTCTTGTTTCTTGATTTGTTAGTTGATCTGAATTGATTTGATTTGTACAGTGACCGAAAATGTGGTCAGTAACTAATTGGTAAAGATGTGAAATATAGCCACAAAGCAAGCAGCGTGTAGGTGTAGGCCCTAGGCAGTGAACAAAGCTAGACAACAGATTACTGCCTATGTCTGTAAATCTTGTGTGTCCACACTGACCAAGCCAATGTCCAATTCAGCGTTTAACAGATGACAAATGCTCCCACCTGACTGAAAGGATAAGCCCAAGAACAGCTAGGACACAGTCACCAGACATCAGAAACCTCACTCTGTCTGTGCAGAGCACCGAGCACATTGCTGCTGCTATTCACACCACCAGGGCTAGCATTACTTACACCAGGATGGAGCTGTGCAGGGCACGTTCCCCCTGGAGCCATCAGCCACATGTCCTCCCAGCGGTCCTGCAGCACCAGCTGCCCTGAGATGCAAAGGAACCTCCTCACAGGTTCAAATCTACTCAGTGCACCAAAAATGACTCCTTGTATCAACTGGCTTGTCAGCACAAAAATCAGGCCCTTAATTTCACTTGAGCCTCCTACACAGCGCCTAGCAACTTCTATTGGGCTAAGGTATTTCCTCCCGAAACCATCTGTGAAATCAGAAAGGCGTTAAAGCCACGGGGATTCATTCCATCACCACTCTGGTTAGGATTAGCCAGGCTCACCAATAAAAAGCCATGGCTTGTTTTATGTGATTTTGCATAGCTTCCACTTCAGCCATTGGATGCATCTTCGAACATCTTTCTCTGTTCAGTTCAAGAACTTACTGCTATAAAGTATCTCCTCCTTGTAAAGGAATCTGCCTCTTGATCTTCATTGTGAGCTGAACAGACTCGGCTGTAAGCCATTGTGTTTCCTGCAAAATAATTTTTCAGAGCTTTTTTCTGCACAATCCCTGCTTTTCCAAGATCTTAAGAAATGTTACTCATAAGATGTTTGCAGTTCTTTCCTTTTTAAATTTCTCTCATTAATGCAATATGTAATAGAAATCCTAATCATCCTTCATTACCTTGCTCTGCATGGATGTGCCTGAGATAAGTTAAAGAAAAGAGACCAAAAAAAAGCACTGACAGAGGAGGACAAGAGGAGCGTGCAGAGCTACACAGATCACAATCAAACCACACAAACACAAGGAAATAAAATGCAAGTGAATCCTACAGACCAAGACAAATACTCCGAACTCCAAGTTTTGGAACCCCAGTAGCAACAGTATACACTCTTGCTTAATGGAAGACTTCAGCAGAGTCCCTCCCTGCCCCACAACTGTCTGTTCTGAAAGCATTGCTGTGTTTTTGTTTTGAAATTTTGCAGTAGAGGTTTCTTAAAGAATTTGAGTTCTGCTTTTACAAAGAGCTGGCACATCTTCAGCTGCAGACCACAGAACAGGACCCAGAGGTGCTTCCTCTTGAGATCAAAGGTTATCTGATAGTAGCCAAAACATCCACAGGCAGTCCAGGTTACTTTTTCCAACAATTTGCTATTTCCATCACAACGACAGCAGGCAGCAACAAAGGGAGCTTGGCCTTGTTTCCTCTGCAGGTTTGAAGTCCTTTTGTTTGACCAGATGGCATACAGCAGCTTCTTCCATCCTTAGGGCTGCATCCTCTTTTTCTTTTTTTTCTGCCAGTTTTTTTCACTCTTTGAGTACACACGTGCAATGCAAATAGAGTTGAGAGCCAGGTTAGGACAGGGAGCTGGTAAGGCACACAGGGCAACGCGCTGTCTCAGTGCTGTTAGTTCACACAGCAGCATTAGCAGTGAGTTCTGGTCATTCCCAGCAAGTGTCATTGGTACCTTTATCACGTCTTGATGTTATCATGCATATCTTATGGGTTTGAGAGCTTTACAGTATATTCAGAGTCCATAAATGACAGAATCCAGTATAAAAAAAGGTCAATATATTACTGTTGAAGGGCTGTTTTCTTCCTTTTTTTATACAAAAATCAAAAAGATCAAAATATATCACATTATTTACACACTGTGCTTCATGCTTAGAGATCACTGCAAAAGAACACACAGACAAACATTTTAATCAAAGAGAAATGCTCCATTACTCATCTTGTTAATATCAAGATTGATGATCAGATTCCTTATCATATTAACAGCATGTCCAAATGATTTGGCACCGAATTAAAACCTTACACGCTAAGGGCATGCTTATGTCCTAACTGAGGGCTTGCAACCAGTTAGTAACGTGCTTGCTGTTAATTGGTGGCTTTTTCAGCCTCAGCAAGGTTTTGGCGTGGTGCTCCCTGCAGCTGTGCAGACAGCAGTGTGTGCTATGGGGAGCAGGGCATGGAGGCAGGCAGGGCACTGTTCTCACAAGGCACAGCGCTGCTGGGCAGGCACACAGCCCACTGCTGGAGCACAGCACCTAACAGCTCCCCAGGGCCCACGCGAGGAGGTATTGGCATTACTCTCACTGTACCTTGTGCCAACATCCTGCTACTGGCAGTCCGTCTGGTCCCTGCAAAACAGAATATATGGATTTCATTTCTGTTGATGGCAGTGTAAGTGTCAGAACCAAAAACCCAAAGCTCAGTCCTGAAACAATAAAAACGTCAGCAGTGCGGTAAGAGACAGTGAGCATGCAGAACCAACTTACTGTATATGCACAACAGTACATACACAACAGTACATACACAACAGTACATACACAGGCAGTGTGGTCTGTGCACAGCACAAAATCAAATACGCTCCAGGATAAAAAAAAGTTGACACTTCCTTGCAACAAAAGTGAACACATAAAAGTCTGGAACCTCGATTAATTCAGAATCTGCTTTAAAAAGTAGCGTTTTTGTGATCAGACCTATTTGTGGAAAGCATGATGTGGAAATGTATCTTTTGTTCATATGCACTTCTTGAGTTGGGGTTAATATATCTTTTCATGATATTCTGTGTTCAATTTGATCCTGCAGTGCTTAGTTTCTTTAAGAAATCTCGAATTGCTGAACTGACTGAAATCGGATAGGTTGTGGGCTGTGTAAGGGGAGTGAAAAGACTTGTCTTTTTCTGATGGAGATGCATGAAGTATACAGAAATGAGAAAGCTGGAAGAGCTTACTTACCAGGAGGAAAACACTGACAAGGAAGGAGCCCTCAGCAGAGGAATGGACTTTTTATGACCAACTTTTCAAGCTACGTTAGCAGACATAGCTGACTTCAGCTATTTCAGCCTTTTCTGATGCTGGATTTTTTAAGGCTCTTGGATCTCTGATTGCATGAATTGCTGCATGTAGAGCTACAGGGAGCACACATGCACCGACCCTTCCCTCAGAACCACCTCCAAGTTAACTAGGGGTTGGAAGCCACGAAGACGTGTTTGCAGTGGAGAAAACTGCTAGTGCAAATAGAGGTCAAAATGCATTTTTACATTTTTTACTGTAAATGTCAGTCATCACATTTTTTGTATTCTGTATTGATTTTATATGTAAAATAGCCTATGCCCAATAAAAGAGATGCAGTGATGTAAGGTTACCCTTTCCAGCTACTCCTAGTGTGACAGGTCCAGTTATTTTCAGACTTTCCTATAACATTACGGTAGTTGGAAGCACATACAGTTTTCTGCTGACAGCAAGCCAGCATTTTGATCCTTGACATTTGGCGTGGTCAGGGGGTGAAGGGTAACAGGGACAACATGCAGAGTGGTTCTGGCACCTGGAGACGTCCTGACCTGGTCTGTCAGAGCACATCCCAACACACCGATGGTCACAAGGCTGATTTCCCCAGGCTTTTTTCCCTTCTGCACACTCAAAATATTCATTTTGGCCATCATCAAGCTCCACATGTTTCTACCACGCTTCACTTGAATGATTCCAGAACAACTGGTCAGCTCACAAAGTGCTTCACAAGCCTCAGCTGAGGCTCATACCCCAGAACTGAACAGAATCACTGAGAACCCAGTAGCCCCCATGACTACAATGGGGGGAGGAGGAAGACAACCTCCCAAGGCAGCGTGCAACAGCTAATGACAACTAATGACAATTAACCTGTCATACACAGGCAGGAAAAAGCGCATCTGCTGCATTAACTGGTCACTGTAATCAACTGTAGGAGAAATCCCCTTCTGCCCCTACGGTGCCTGCTCTATAGCTTGACTTTGTGTATTCTGTACAGTTAGGATGGGACATGCTTAGCAAATATAACATCTCTGGGGAGTAAATCTGAAGAGCTGAAGCAGGCCTGCTGCTAATAATTGGTTTCTTTGACACATATGAAAGCAATTTAACTTTTTGAAAAAGAACTTACTGCCCTTTTGTTTCTCTGAAGACAACTGCAAATCATCTAACATGCAGCATTTTCTATGGTTAAAAAAATGAAAATAAAACAATGACCTCTTTTAGCTAGTCAAGCAGAACCCTCTGGATCAGCGAGCAGAGCTTGAACCTCTCTGCCTAATCAGAGGATTTCAACCTGAGCTCCACAGTGCAGAGCTGATGCAGCAAATGCCCTTTTAATGCCCAAAGGGCCCACGACCTCCAGTCACAGCACCTCGGGCTGTTCAGTGGGGCAGCTCAGCACCCAGCTGGTACCACAAGGGGAACACTTGGCCACAGGTACCCAGAGAAACAACTGAGTTTTAGGATCCACTGCTGAAAAGAGTCAAACAGCCCCCTGTGCGATCTCCCATGGCCTGCCCTCCTTGTTTAAAGGCAGTAGGAAAAAGGCACAACCCAGTGGTGTCCTTCTCTGAGTGCCAAAGTGAAGCGTCTCGTTCCTGCTGTTTTGCATTCCTTCTCTCCTTGATGGGATTCATGCCTTAGGAAGGGGCTTGGCCACAGCAGGACACACACAAACCATGCAAGAAAGGGAAGAGCAGGTACCGTACCAGCGGGCAGGGCACGCTCACCCCATCCAGGCCTGGCAGACCTGGGTCCCCATTGCTGCCTGTAATACTACGATCTCCCTGTTTAAGAAAAAATAACTGCTTGTTGAGAACGATAAAGGACATGGGAGTTCCTTGAACAGACATCAGTGCCTGAGCAGAAAGGAGAAAGAATGGGCTCAGAACTTTGCGCATCCATTTCTGATGACACAGCAAATCAACAGAGTTGTTTTATGGTGGGGAGCTCACAGACACACAGACTGTCATCTGGGAAATATCTTCTGTACTCAAAGCAGAGATTCTCATTTGAAAAAGATGAGGGTTAAATCATCCAGCATGTTGAGAAAGGAAAGGTGATCCATCAAAAACAAAATATTTGTAGCTCACATTCAATCTCCAAGCAAAATAAAGCACAATGAATGAAGGATATTTTTGCTGGTACGGTGGAGTTCCGCGACAGCTTTGATGGCTGTAGCTGTGCTGGCGAGGTGAGAAAGCCACACATTTGGACAAGCAATGTGTTTTTGGAGAGTTAAAGCAGAGCTGGCACTGCTAGTTAAGTGCAGCTGAACTATGATGTAATAGTCACATTTGGGCAGCCTCAATAGTAGACACAAATTATTCTTTCATCCTAAAACCGCACAGCATTTTAAGGAATGGCTATCTCTGGTTTCAGTCATTAAACGAACAGCAGTAAAGTAAAAGGAGGTACATTTTACCAGGCCAAACAACCAGGGTGAATTTTTTTCTGAGCCGTATAAAAGGTTTGAAACATCCTGGAGAATCCCAGCTTCCTCAGACCTAAACATCAAGGCAGGTTTTCTGGAAAGGCTGTTTGTGTACATGCAGCACAACGGCGGCCCAGGATGTGTCTGAGAAAGGACAGATCTGAGCTGCTAGCTGCTATCTCAGCCTGAGAAACACGGGAGGTCTCTGATCCCAGAGGCACTTTTTGGCAGCCTTGGGGCTCATACATCACACAGCCTTGGCTGTATTAACATGCTATCAACACCAACCTACTTCCCCACGCGGGAGAGCTAGAGTCAGCATGGTCCCTGCTCAGTTTGGGGAGATGATGGGATAAAGAGCTGACCTGGCTTTCAAATTGCCTCCCATCCGCTGCACAGTTACTCCCCAATTGCAAATGTACTCAAAATCTAGGCAGGCAGCTTCACCAGGGCACGCTATCTCCTGAAGAGCGTTACTGAAGCCCATTGTTCCTGACTGCAATAAGAAGATCACTACACAAAGATTCTTTATTTTTACTGCTGTGGCTTGTTCCCATCTGGCCAGTGAGGAGCCCTTAAAGCGAGCACTGAACTTCCAGCAGTGCAGATAAAACAAACCATTAAGAAAAGTGAGAAAACAATAACCATCTGCTCTGATTTACTGCAAACTAAAGATCTACCAAATCCTCCCTCCCTTCCCCGGGCTGCAAAGCTGCAACCCCTTTCAGTCCTTGCAACACACGCTTCAGATGAGCAAAGCAGAAGACATACCACAGGGCAGGGTTGGTCCAATCCGGGAGGGCCAGGTTCCCCCTTCTGCCCTTTGGCTCCTTTTCTCCCTGGTATCCCTCGCTCGCCCTGTTGTTGCAAAAGGAAAATAGTATCAGGAACAGAGGGGTGGCTGGCAGGGGAAACACACCTTGTTTTTACTTTGCACAGTTACTGCAGCGTCCCACATGGCAGCCAGAGTAGGGATGTTTGCACTGGTGCAACCTTAATTGGGCAATTAAATGACTGAAAGTCTTCAGTTAAAGCAGGATAGCAATAATTTAACAGGGTGGCTAAGTCACCAGTCACTGCTAGAGACCAGGTTGGTATCTGGCAGCAAGGAGTGTTGGGCAGCCCCTGCCAGCGCTGCTGGAGCACCAGCTTCCAGCACGGCACCAGTCTAAGGATTCCTGCAACAAAACCTGACTGGGACCCAGTTTCAAGGTCTATAAACCAAAACTAGCAATTCTTCCCAACCTGGAGCTGCTAGGCTGCTCCAGCTCCCCAAAGTTTGCAGGCTGCCAAGGAGGGAGAAGCTTACAGCTGTGAACCACAAAACACTGGAGCTGGAGGGGAACCCATGCTGCGGGACATGAGAGGAGCAGCCAGTCCTGCTCATCCCCACCAGCACCCTTACAGCCATGACCCACTCACCTTCTCCCCTCTTTCACTCTTCTCTCCCTTTTCTCCTCTGAGACCTGGGAAACCCTGTTATGGATTTTTTTTTTGGTGGGAAAAGAAAAGGGGTGTAAGCTTATTTTGTGCACATCCCAGTATCTCAAATCAACAAAAGCAACCAGCAAAGAATATGGCATTTTCTTCCTTTTTTGTCTTTATATCTCATAAATTTATTGGGAAAGCTAGTGCTTTAACTATCCTGCTAACATTTCATCTGTAAGAGATTTTGGTTTTCCTGAATCTAATACAAGTATTCTCAACTGGGAGAGAAAGCCCCCCCAGCACCTTCAGCTGAGCAGTGGTAGGCTGTGTGGCACAGTACTGCTGTGCAGCCAAACAACTGCTGCTGTGAGTTACGCCTCTTCCTACTGACATCGTTCTGTGGGTGCCCTAAGAAGGGAGAACAGTCTGTGCAGTGTTAGTTATGTGTATTTGTGAGAACAGCAAGCAATCTTGATGGCCTTCACATGTGTGTGATTCACATTTTGACACATCACAATTAACTTTCTCCATACTCACATCTAATCCCGGCTCTCCTGGCTTTCCCTGCAGTTGTAAAAACAAAAACAAGACACATTGGACTGATTTCAGTGCAGCAGGCAAAGATTTCCATTTGGTGACATACTAAGTTTGGTGGAGATGGTGAGGGTTGCACACCTGTCTGTGCACTCAGCATTGCCTGCCTGGGCTCGATGTGCTCCCAAGTTGTTCAGGGAGCAACCACTACACCCAACTGCTGTCATCAAATGCTGACAGATGCTAAAAAACAGCAACTCATTGGAGCTGAGGTTCTGGAGACGAATGTTGGTAAAATGAGCAACTTTGACCAGGAAAAAGCTTTGGCCATCCATAACCTAGCTTCTATGGAGCTCCAGTAGGGAGAAGGAGATCTAACGCAGGCCTACATCAATGATTACCTTTTCTCCTTTGGTACCAGGTAAGCCAATGAGCCCTGGAGCACCAGGGAGACCCTTGAAGGCAGTTAAAAGAAAGAAAAGAAAGCATTAGGAAAGTTGCTGTAAGGCTGGGTTCTGCCAACAGTCAGAAGTGAGACGTGGGGAAACAACTCACAGCTGGGCCCGCATCGCCTTGCTCCCCCTTCTCACCGCTGTCACCTTTTTCTCCCTTTGCACCATCCAAGCCCTGCAGAAATGAAACACTGGCATCAGCCAAGCAGCACGTGGGCCTTGGGAACAGCCTCAGGTGGGAAGTTGGTGCAAAAAAGCAGGATTGTGCTCTCAGGCAGAGCAGTGCAAGCATAAAACCTGCTGCACCAACCCCAAACACAGCTGTGGCAAGGACACCTCCCTTGCTGCTGTTAATGTTCTCCTCTTGACCAGACCATACAAGAAAGAGTTGAAAATAAAGGTTTCAGTATGTGGGTTTGGAAACCCAGACTTGCATGTGCTGCAGGCTGACAGGACTCCATAGTGAATTTAAGATCATAAAACGTATTTGGAAGGAAGAATGGCTTATTTTCAAAAACACCAACTGCTGAACAACACAATCAAGGGATGTGTTGTCACAAACTGTGACAAAAAAAATCAGTCCCCAGAGCTGACAGTCCTTTGTGGTCCTGCAAATAATGCAGTGGAAGCCTGGAAACAGTGGGTGACATTTGATTTATTGACTTACTTTAGGCCCCTGGATTCCTGGAGGACCCTACAGGAAAGACAATGGTACATTATAAAAGCAGAATTTAAAAACAAACCCCTACGTCTGCTTCCCAAACCGCTTCTTGCTAAAGTTACGGGCTGACAATAGCTAAATATTTCTTTTTCAAGACAGGTGGTAGTTTATTTGGTTCTCCTACGTCAAATCAGTGGGAAGGAACTGTAAAAGGCTGCGTTGCGTAACACGCAACAATAAAATGCTGAAGAGTCAGCTCTGGAGGGAGAGCTGTGCAGCAGTGCAGAAACGCTGTGTGGTTGTGAAGCGTCACCCTGCGTGGTCTCCCCGAGGTGCCCATGGACCAGTGAAGGTCTCCCAGCTTTCCTGACTCCCTTGGCAGCTCCTCGGCCTTTTGGAACACTGTAGATACCAAACACCTCAGAAAACTGCACTGAAAATGACTATGTGTATTCACATCACTGCCCACATCCTCTCCCGCTGCAATCAATGGCAAAAAAAAACTGACCTGGGCAAATTTGTGGGAATATCAACACCACAGTGGTGGGGAACCCAAATTGACAGCAGCCCAGATTAAACAGAACAAAACCACCCTGTTTCCTTTCACTAATTGCATGGTATAACTCTGTAGCTCTGTTCTATTGCGCATGCCAGCGTCCCATCATCCTACCATGGGGCCGGGCAATCCGGGCGGTCCTGGCTCTGGGATGATCTGCATGAAAGAAATTAAATGGCACGTTAATGGGGCTGGGAACGGGGACACAGAGAAAGCAGGCAGCTCAGGAAAACCTCACACAGCCCAGGATTGCTGAAGCCTGCCCTCTAATTTAATAGAGGTAATCCAGGTATCTGCTAACCAAAGAGGTGCCCGTAGAATTAGTAGGTAAATGGATCTCAGTAAGCACACAGATCAGGCTGGCCTCAGAAATGAGAGGCGTGGGCCATGCTACTCAGTACATTTGCTAGTTGCAAAATAGATTCAATGGAAAATGAGGTCATTTTCCATATGGACACAAACCAGCCTTTTTGTTTAGAAAAAAAAAAAATCAGAATTAGAGCTCATATGTCATTAATAAACACCTAAAAAAAAGTTTATGAATTTTGATACTAAGCACAAGGCGTGAAAAAAGAAAAAAAACAGGAGCCCTATAAAACAGCACAAAGCACAGTACGTTTTTAGAGCAAAACAAAATAGCATTCAACATCTCAATTACCAAAGCAAAGTCTGAAGTACCTACACAGTGCCTGATCATTTCCCTCATCTTCCCTCATACACAAACCCCATTTAGAGGCATCCCAAAGTTCTCATGCAGAAGGTCCGTCCTGTGCTCTGCACTGATGCACACACCAACTTCCCCTGCCCTTGCCTCATGGAAGAGGCTGCGTGGTGTCAGCGCCTTACATGGTTGTTCTGCAAACACGGTGATCCAGTGTCTCCTTTGTCTCCTTTTGGCCCATCTGCTCCCTGAAAGATATGGATTTTGCACTGAAGTGTCTCATCTCCCAGAAAGAACAAGAGAAAAATGCATTTGTCTTCCCCTAAACGCCATCCTCCCTTGCTCCAGCAATAGCTGCGGAGCTATTTGAGAAAAGGAGGTTTTCCCCAGGCTGGAGCACACATTTCATTTATTCTGAAGAAAGCCACTATCAGCATTATTAGTTAGGAACACTCCAAGTCCCCACTTCCTCCACCTGAAGCAGTGTAGTGTGGACAGCCCACTGCCCAGCTCAACAAAACCCAACCACACTCCAAGACTTGCAGGAATCAATGCACTGCAGCACACAGACATACCGGTGGACCTGATAAGCCCATTTCTCCAGTCTCTCCTTTCGGTCCTGTGACCCCTGCACTGCCTTGGTCACCCTTAGCTCCTTTGGGACCCTAGAATTTTACAGAACACAGATACGGGTGTTGAAGAGAACCAACCAAATCAACACCCAACCAACCTGTTTCTGCCTTTCTGCTGTGTTGCTCTTCCCCCCCCCCCCCCCCCCTCATTGCAGCACCAACTCGTGAAAACATGTTTTAATGTTAAAACTCACACATACTGATTTTGCAGACACAGCAGAATTTTGCTTGGCCACAGCAAAGAATGCAGCAATTAGGTTTTGGAAGGTTTACGTCAGAATTTGAGACTGTCTCACAACTTGTAAAAGTAGCCCATTTAACTCAGCAGATGTGGACAAGAGCATCATCTGCGTGCTCAGAGCTGAGTGTTTAACTCAGGGAGGTGCAGCGTTGTAGGGCTGTAGGGGCAGGCTGATGTTGGCTTTCACAGGGGCAGCCACCACAGACACACAGGTCACTTCTCTCTAACTCAGCTCCTGAGTGCTCTCCTGCACCATTCCACCCAGTCCAACCATGCTGTGTACCTTTTCTCCATCCAGTCCAGGTGGACCTGGCAGGCCCAGCTCCCCCTGAAGCAACACAAAGAAAGCAGAGCCAACAGTAAATTAGATCAGTAAATAATCCTAGGAAGACATTTTGCAAGGAAAGAAGTTACTCATTTATGGTGGCTATAGGCTGAGCATCGGAGTGTGAGGAACAGCGGTGAGGATGACACCCAGATCTGATGGGCTTCATTGGCCCAGCACAACCTGGGCTGAGGTTGGGCAGCACCAAAATCCTGCCCTTTCCCATGTGCTGACACACACTGGTAAACAAATTAAGCCTTCTTTTAAAGAAAACTATAGCTGACACTAAGTTACTGGTGATCAGTTACGAACAAGGGCAGTGGCAGTGCAGCAGGGGCACAGTGGCAGGGTGCAGGCACTGCCCCAGCATGTCGGTGTGGGGCAGGAGGTGAGCTCATACTGCAATCTGTGACACTCCCAAACCCAACTCAGGCATTTTCCCCCATTTTCTTCTCTCTCCTGCCCCATGTAAAGTACCAGACCAACCAGGATTTCAGCCCTCAGGTGTAGGGCAGAGATGGATTCCTTCCTGGAACATGTGCTGTAGGGGACCAAGAACCAAGGAAAGGAGAGCCCTTCTTGGCTGCTGTATGAAAACTTGCTTTTTCAGCTAGAGGAAGCATTAAGGAAGCATAATTTCCTTCACTATACAAGCCCCAAGTCCTGCCTTGTTTTAGCAGACATTTGCCCAGTCTTATGACATGAGAGCCACTAATAAACATCCAGCTCTGTCAACAGCACAGCCTGCACTGGCGGTCAGCCTTACCTTGGGGCCTGGAGCTCCCTGTGGGCCTGGTGGCCCTGGGGGACCTGGCGAGCCCTAAAAAACAGCCAACAGAAGAAGCATGAGCACAACTGCTTCGCCTTCCACAGAGCACACGGTGTGTTCAGCACCAGCACAAACACACCCGTGAGCTCAGCCCCTGGCACTGAGGGTGCTGGTGAAATAGAACACATGCCCTGAGCCATGCAGCAGGCAGGGTGCTGTGGGGTGTCAGCACAGCCCCACATTTGATTGCATTGTTTGCATTCTGCTGGGTACAGAGAGCACAGAACACCTTACGTTGCGAGGTGCAAGTCATCTCAAACAGCAAACTCACGGTCTCCCAGCTGAAAAACAACCCCGTATCACACCTTTTGTCCTTCAAACACTACCATGTTAATCACACTGGAAGCTGTGTAAAGCAATCGCTTCTCCAAGCTCTCTTCCCACATAGGGTAAGCGTGCAAACAGACAACAACAAGCAGAACGCCTATGGCCGAGCAGTGTGGTGTGCTCTCAGCCATGTCCCCATGCACACACAGGGACGTCCTGCAGATGGACCCTGCTGCATCTGCTGGGGCCGCCCCAGGAGCTCCATCCACAGCCTCCACTCACGGAGCTGCATGCCGTGCTCCTGTCAGAGCAACCCATGCAGACATCTGGCAAACGGTAATTACCACCACTTTGTGTATCCCTGCAGCCTGTTATAAAACAATTAGGATGGTTCTCAAATGTGTCTGTAATTAAGTACTTATTCTGTTCGCCTTCTTTTATCCTAACACAAGCAGCAGGGAGAGGCTTGGCAGGCACTGGGGCAGGTTAGCACCCAGGCACTGCAGCCCATCCTCCCACTGCCTTCAAGGACACCCAAACAAGAGACAATTTGCAGTGAAAGCCACGCACAGGGTGGAATAAACCCTGCCCTCTGGGCTGGCTCTGCGCTAAGACCTCAGGAAGGAGAAATAGCATAGGACTTCAGCCCCTCCCTGCCACCCCCAGGAACCAGCTCACCTTGAGTGCATCCAGGATGCGGCCGTCGTAGTCGATCACCACCGTGTCACCCTGTTCCCCTTTCAGGCCAGGGGGACCCTGCAACCGAGGACAAACCTGTTTAGTTTTTGCAGCACCTGAGAACCAGGCTGTGTGACAGCAGGGACCCAGCAGCCCAGTGTCTGGGGGGGAATTACCAGGCACCAATGTAATGAGCTCCTAGATAGACAGCTGTCATCCATCCAAACCTCAAAAGCCTACAAACGTACGTAACGGAGGGGTGCATCAAAATCATTGAGTAACCCTATTGACAGCTTCTTACAACAAAGGAAAAATGATGACAGGATGGTCACACTGATAAGAAAAATCAGACTTTACTGCGTTTCCCAGCGCTGTCTCCACGGGCAGTATTTGGTATTGTTTTAATATGCACCATCTGTATCTCCTAACATGGAACTGATCCTTACACTATTTGACAACACGCTAAACAGAAGGAGGTGGCGTGGGGCAGCTTGGGGCATGGTGAACACTGAAAGGAAAATCCTGAACATCCATACCCGGGGTCCGATGGAGCCGACTCCTCCCTTCTCACCAGGCTCACCCTGAAAATGCAGATCATATTTTTTGTTTCAGAAACACCAAGGAAAATGTGGAATATTTATCCTACAACTAAGCTAAATGGCACGAGATGCCAGCATGCATTTCAGATTCAAGGCAAAGTATGGTGCCAACAAGGAACCGCTGCACCCAGCAAAACAAAAGCCCCCCAAAAACACAACAAAACAAACAAAAAGCCCAACAGATCTGACTTCAGAGCAAATGCATTTTGCACAGAGTGATACTGGAGGAGCTAGCTGGCAGCAGGAAAGCATCCATCCCATTTGCACAAGTGCTGCCTGCTGCTCCCGCCATGCCAAGCTCTGGCTCCTCGTGCTGCAGCTTCTTGCTTCAGGCTGAATATCGCATGTGGAAAGTCTCAGCCAACATGTTTAAACCATTTCTGAGGGCGACTTTAAGGAAGGAGTCTGTGCCAGTTATTTTTTATTATTATTTTTTAAGTTGTGAGTTTTGAATGGCTTTAAGATTCCCACCGCAGTGACCTGGAGTTCAGCTCAGGATTCAGAACTGCCCCTTCTGCCATCCCATGGAAATCTATTCATGAATCATATTAAAGCCCTTGACATAGTAACACATAATAAATATACAAACACAAGAAGTCTTCATAGGAAAATTTCAATTCAGCAGACCCTAGGCGGAACAAACAAGCACTGCTACCCTGTTTTTAAAACAAAAAACGTGAGAGGGTCATCCAAGCCCACGTTTCTGCATCCTGTATAGCCTAGCAAGGAGCCATGGCTGCTCAATACAGAAAGACCAGGGATAGATCAGACTAAATAAGAAGCAGCTGAGGAGGGAATAAAGGCTCATGAATGCTGTCCATGTTATATCATCACCACTTAACATATCAAGACTGTCTTACTACATCCCTTTGCAGTTCTGAAGATAAGTAGAACAGTAAGGCACATAAGCACTCTCCACTTTGAAGCGATACCACAACAATCAATGCATGAAGGTCAAAACGTGATCAGAGATTTAGCTATCTGGGGAAAAAAAGAGGCAATTCAACGAAAAACATTAAAGGAGATGATTTTTGGATCTCCAGCTTTCATTAAGCTGCCAGAAAAGGGTAAAATACTTCTCAAAAAACTCCTATTTGTTTCATTTTTGGCACTTTATGAGACTTTTAGACAGTAAAGGCTTATGACACCAACCCAGCCAAAATGCAGTGCCTCCCCAGCAGGCTGGCACTCACCTTGGGTCCTGGCACACCATCCGTGCCATTCTCTCCCTTCAGACCCGTGCTTCCCTTTTCTCCCTGAAAGCAAGATGATTTAGATGAATGCTGTATGGTTAGGATGCAGAACAGATTTTCCCAGGTTGTAGTTTTCTTGCTTTATTGTTACCTTTATGAACACAAGTGAAGAAAGCTCCGTTTTCAGCCTAAAACGTATCACATTGCCTATGTGCAAAATGGGGAACATTCAAGATTAAGGGGAGCTTTACAGGCTCAGCAGTTTGGCTGTGGGTTGTGTGCTCATCTGCAATGTTGGCTCGACAACCACAGTCCAAAGGCTCCCAACTGAGAGCCCACTGGGTACAATGCCCCATCCCAAAGCCCAGGCCATCGCCAGCAATGCTGTTTGAATTGTTTCTGCAAGTGGAGGCTCTCCATGGCAATTCTCTGCAACAGCCAACAAGTTGTAAACTCCAGGCTTTCTGACCAAGGCAGAGGGATGAGTTACACATCTTTCTCTTTTTTGTTCTTTTCCCATATTCAGGCAGAATTGTATTTCTCAGCATGTCCCAACCACACCGCAGTGCCAACAAGCAAGCCAAAGAACAACAGGTGCTGCCAAGCACACACATTAGATAGACACAGAGCAGACACTCACCTTAGAGCCCGAAAGTCCTGGTTCCCCTGGGATGCCATCATCACCCTGATGAAACAAAACATAGCAAGTGAAACACAGAGGGCCTGTACACATGTGCCATCTGGGTTCAACTCTTCATTCACCCTCATTGACCTGAGCACAGATCCAAGCCCCACTCGGGTTTGCAGGAAGCCAGGAAAAACCTGCAGCATGGTCTTCTGCTCCCATCCAGCTCTGTGTCGGCCTCCTCTGCTCACAGGTATGGGGCATGGCCACAGAGTTATATATTTGACCCACAAAGGGTATTGGGGAGCCTTGTTAATTTCACATTTTTTTCACATTTCACATTTTAATTCACAAATTAACAGGCCTCCTGCAAACTACCCCTCATCCTCACGGACTTCACTGTGACCACCAGCACACCAGGAGATCTTCTAGGGTTCACGTGTCATGCTTTGTTCTTCTCCTGAAGTAATACTGCCTTGTAGGTGCTTAAGAGGTTAATTTTGCTGGGCAGTTACCAAAACTTTACACAAATTGTCATCTGAAAAATGCACATGGCCACGTCTGTTTTGGGGCAAAACAACCAGAGGAAACGCCTGGGCCCTGTCACCACTTTGGTTTTGGATGAAGGCAGTGATTTATTCACTCCTCGATAGGGCCAACAGCAGAAAACTTGGACACGTGCATCTCCCAGTCTTTGACACCCAACCCAAACAGAGCATCTGTCCTTCTGAGTGTGGGAAATTCCTCTCCTGCCCCTGAGAATTGACCACACTGAGACTGTGTGTGGCCATGCCTCTCCCCGGGCTCTCCCAGGAAACTGAGCCCACCACAGGGCCTTTTGGGAGATAACATCCTCCAAAAGCTTCTCAGTCAAGCTCGAATTATTTGAGCAAAAGGACTCAGACCTACTGCTTTGTTTTGGCATCCAGCATTTCATTCTTTTTGTCTACAGGGCAGATGTGATTGCAGCTTCTGGCCTGTTTGCTGTAATGAAAGCCATGCTTTGACATGGCAGCATCTGCGCTTTGGGGTTGTGCGGTCGCAGCTCTTCATGGAGCACACTGGAGGGACCCTGGGGAACAGCACTGGGGTGCTACATGCAGCCAGGACTGCAGCTTCTCCATCACCCTCTGGAAGCGGTTTCCCTAGTCTAGAACTCAGCAAAGTAAAGCAAAGTCACTGTTTTACCTTCTTTCCTTGCATGCCGGTCTCGCCCTTCAAAAGCAATAAACAGAGGAGAAAGATTAGGGAACAAGAAAATAAGGCCAATTGCACCAATACTCAAAATTCATTGTCAAGTTCAAATAATGTGTTGCTTGCGTTGGTCAGCTCTATGCTCCCAAATTGGAAGAAAGCACATTCCTACAGCACGCTGACCTCTAACTCCCACAGCTCCTACCCCACCCCATTTCAAGGTTTTACCAAGGGCAGGGGCTGTGCTTTCTGTGTAGGTTGCACACTCAGACAACTTCAAGTCAATGGTTAATTCAGTAGTGCAGAAATTCAGTATGCGATCAATACGGGTGAGAACAACTCCACCGTGAAATGTGTGTGTGCATTTCTACTCCTCTTCTACAGAAATATGTCAAGAATTCTTGTTAAAATGCTGATCACCCACCTTTGGCCCCGGGGGTCCCCTGGCACCCTATGGAATGAAAAATCAGTTTGTTATACTTATAGAGCAAAACAGAATACAGACACGTCCAGGAATATTTTCATCCCCATGAAAAAAATGATGCAGATGCCAGCTTTTCATCCTCCCTTATAAATAGAACCATGCTCCCAACAACAACTAGTAAATAGATACACACATATATTTTTACTCGTGCGTTCTATGCATTACAATTTTTGGCATCAATACGCAAAGACATGAAAGCACCCAGTGCAGAGCAAGCAGCACACAGAGCAAGGGATGTCCTGGGCAGTGCAATAGGAACACCTTTGTGCAATACTAACCACAAGGCCGTCGTCCCCTGGCTCGCCTTTAAGACCCTACAAAAAAAAAGAAACAAAAGAAACAAGACCTGGAAGTACCTGTCATTCATTCCTCATTCTCAATACTCAGTGATCAGGCCATCCAACAGCATTGTGTTTCAGCTTATTTCTTTATTAAATGTATTGCCAGTGATCTGGAGATTTGCAACAGGTCTTCTGATGCCTACAAATCACTGAGGGGATCCCCCTTGGGCTCCCTGCATTACAGCTGGTGGCCACAAACACACGCTCCGGGTCCAGCTCTTTTCTCCAGAGCTGAAGATGGAAACCTCCCTCTGCTTCCTCACCCTGAGACCCAAAGCTCTGCAATGCAAGCAGCCTCCAGCACTGGGGACACAGCATTTGGGATGGGGAAGGGGATGCTCTTAATTCTCCGCTCCCTCACTAGACTGGGGACCACACAGCATGTGCCCACTGCACATCTCTGGTCCTTACAGGGGGGCCTTGAGGTCCTCTTGGGCCATCCTTTCCTGTGTCACCAGGAGGCCCCCGGGCACCTGGGGGTCCTGGTGGACCAGGGGGACCAGTGGCTCCATCTCGACCTTGATCACCCTGGAAGAAGTTCACACAGACACGGTGAGATGAAGCAGCACGGGCAAGCACAGCAGCTTGGTATTGACCAGAGGGTGCCCACAACACATGCATTGCATCCCCAGGCCATGGGCAACTTGATCTCTGCCATGTTAGAATGAGGGTAGTATGATTGGGTTGTGGTTGGACTCGATGATCTGTAAGGTCTTTTCCAACCTGAGCAATTCTATGATTCTATGATCCCAGAGGGGTTAATTGCAGCAGCCAATTGGGAAGGCAAAGAGCAAGCTCAGAGCTGCTCCAAGATCTTTGAGTCTAGTTCCTCAAATGGAATTTTGCTCAATGCCTTCCATCATGGTTTCATCTCATTAAGCCTTTCCCCAGTGACCATCTGCATAGAATCCACCAATTCAACATACCCAGAAATAAATGAAACCCAACAACATGCTGGTGTGGAGCATGCACACAAGTCCAGACCTTAGCAGACCACACAAAAAAAAATCTTCCCCCCACCCCCAAAAAAAGCAGTTCTTAGTAGTAAACTTTAAATACAGCCAAAGTCCTATATTAACATCCAGCTCAGCTGACATCCTACTGGGATGCAAGGGAAGAAAGCAGCCACTGCCTCTCCTTGTGATTGCAAAGGTTTGGTGCACGCTGTGCAAGGGGAGCGCTGCAACCCGCCGCCGGCCACCGCGGTTCCGACATGTGGCTACACAATGGAAATCCTCATGGAAAGGCTGTGCCATAAATCTTTTAGCAACATCTGGATGGGTTACCAGTGAGGCACCAACAGGACTGTATTTAATATGTGGTCCACCCTCAAATCACAGACAAGTGTGGGATTTTCAGAAGTCCTTAAGTGACTCAGCAGCACAAACCCCGCTGCCTTTCAACGAGATCTGCACTCCTAAATCACTCGCATGATTTTTAAAGACCCTATCTGCTAATCCTGAACGCTGCATCCAATGGTGACAAGAGTCTCCCACTGAATTTTGCCTAATTAAAAAGTCACATTTAGAGCACGGGGATTTAGGCAATTGCATTTTAGTGCACTTTACTTTGATACCAGCATTGTCCATATGCCCTATGAACATTTATAGGGTTTGCTGCATGATCCTGCTTCCCAGGAAGGACCAAATGCTGAAACACCATCACTTTTATGTCTCCTTGCTTTGCCAAAACTCCCCTGAATTCTGACAGGGCTCACCCCAGCTGCTCCTTGCAGGCACCTCTGAGTGCTCCATGGCAGTGACAATTCCAAACAGCACCAGTGCGCCATCAGCCAGAACGAGGGAACAAAAGCAGCTCAAACAAACACAGCAAACCAGAGGCAGCAGATTTGATACGTCTACCTTGAGCACCCGGCGGCTAAAGACCAGCTGATCGTTAGCCAGAAATCCGTGATTGAGGCGAGGGAAAACCATCTAGCACAGTGCAGGGGGAGGAGGAAGAGGAAAGAGCAAGAATTTAGGATGCAAGCACAGCACAGAGTGAGTTTGAAAGGCCATAAAATGCACAACAACTTCTCTTCAATAATTAATTGATATAAGAGGAGTAGGTCTAGATAGACAACCTGGGACTTTAACATTCTGGATGCACTATCAGTAAGTAGACACAGCAAAACAAATCTCCTTTCATGAGCTTACTGCACAATAGGACATTGAGGGCTGCTGGGTATGGACGATTCTCTACTGCAGGACTCTTCTTCAGAATGCAGAGCATTTTCCAGTAAAAACCACATGGGATATATCCCAGCATTTCTCCCGAGACCAAATATTATCTTTTTTTTTCAGGCAAAAATGAATACTGATGTATTCACCAGCCTGCAAAACGCTGATAAATCTCTCAGATTTATATGATGCAAAAACAATGTATTCAGACCATGTCAGTAGTCATTGCTATTGTCTTTCAGCCTTCCCACTTATCTAGAGAGAAGCAGTAGGTTTCCTTTCTCAGGCTGTTTTTGCTTGCTCCCTTTTCCACCATCCAGCCTAGGGTTCATCCATCAGAAGACTGCAAGAGGAGAGACCAAGCAAGCAGCATGTCCTCCAGGAAAGAGGATTTTCACTCTGCAGAGAGGCTTTAGCTCAGCCCTCACTCAAATACAGCCATTCTGGAAAGGAATGATGTCCAAATCCTAAAGGGTAAAACTGAGATGAAACACATCCACATTAATGGTGTCACAGAGCCCTTGCACATTTTATTTTAAATGATTCCTGCTAAGGATGGTGATTGCCCCCAGGGCCATGAAATGCAGAGATGTCATCTCTGGCTCTGCAAACATCTGGACTACAGAGAGGCGGGTGCCAGGGGAGCACACAGTAAGCCAGAGCTGCCCCAAACTGCACTGGCCCTGAGGCATTTGGGCTGTTGGATCTGACCTTGTGCAGCAACGTGGCCTCAGAGAAAAGAAACCATGAACACTGACATTTGTCAGCTTCAGAGTATGCGATTTAGCTATTTCAACATCATGATTCAAAATAAGTAAATACTATAAAGATCTGTACATTTCCACAATGGCTGTCACAGTGAGCCCTGCAGGACACTCCACATGCTGAGCTCTTAACCTGCAATTTGAGCTCAGCAAGCATCTTTCTTTTTACATAAAGAGAGAAAAAGCCCCTTTTCACTTGCTGAGCCCACAGCTGTTCAGCTGCGCCAGGTTTAACTCTACAACAGCTCAGAAGCTGACGCTGCTGGGACAGTCTCCGGCCATTAAGCAGGAGAGCACCTCATGGGCTATGGAGCACGGGCCCTTTTCTCTGCAACACGAGGCAGAGGCACTGGGAAGCAAAGCTAGAGAGCCAACAGCCTCAGGTCACCTTTGCCAGGCACCTGGACACCGGATAAAACCTGGTGGTGCCGCACTGCCGTTGTCCCCGAGCTGCCTCATCTCAGCAGTAAAATGCCTGAGACATTTTGGCAAAGCTCACAATCCTTGCTCTTCCTTCACCTGACCTCCTCCAGTGACTCCCACCCGTGGTGCCTGTCGGAAGTTATACTTGGGATTCTTTAAGACGCGTGAGGACAGGCTTGTGTTGAAGCCCCTCTTCTCTCCTTCAGAGCCAATCTGGCACCACTGCTACATGCACAACCCAGATGTGCAAAGTTCATCAAATCCCATCATTTGTCCAAACGTCTGCATTGCCAGTGAGAACAGGATCAACTAAGCCAGGGTAATAAATCCAGAGCGGCTGTCCTGGATTATGAAGCTGTTTAGAGGTGTAAGGAAGTGTTTAAGAGAGAAACCAGCATGAATTGCAGGGCACAGAAGTCCCAGCTCTGACAGCATCCTGCTTTGGCTCCTTCTTTCCTCCCCAGAACAGAGAGGACGTGTGGTCTTACTTTCTCCCCATCAGTGCACCCAGGGGCATTGCACCAGTGCTGGGTATGTTTGTTCCCTGCCTGGTTAGGCACAGCCCCACAGCACCCTTTGCAGGCCCCCAAATGCTCAGTTTTGCCATTGGGTTTTGCCTGGGACAGCCCAACAGAAACTGCTGCCTCCAAAACTCACTCCCAGTATTGACACGAGCCACGCTCCTGTGTGTAATAACCACGTATCCATGCTGCTGGCAGGTATTAGTTAGGGACAGATACAAAAGCAGACACCAATATGTCCAGTAGCTGTTCCCCAATATCCTCATCTCACCTCCATTGCGTGCAGTCCCTCCAAAACCAACCCAAGTGCTATTTTCTTTTAATCTGCCATTCCTGGGGATAACATGCTTGTGTTCAGTGACACGCACTGTCCCAGCCCCACCTCTCATAGACACATTTGTGAGCACACAGTGCTGGATACAGCCAGAGTTATTTATCTTCCCGTTGATGTGATGACTTGCTGTGACATCTTTCAAAATCAGCTCAACAAAGCTACCACCGAAACTCGAGGAGGAAGATAGATTAAACTACGAAATAAAAAATAATCTGGGCCAGATGGTATCAATAAGTTTCATATCCAACCCAGCCCTGAAAGCTGGAGATAGAACAGCACGATTTTCACAGCCAGGCACTGGTTGGTAGACCTACTTGGTCCAGCCTTTTACTTATTCTTGTGTAATATATATGTGAATATATATGCATATAAAATATGCATAAATAAAAACAAGATGACACAAGAATAAAACAAAATCTGGACAAAGATCAACCATGGGAAAATAAGTACATAATTATTGGTAGATTAAAATATTAGACAAACACTGCTGTGAAAGCTGGTGCAAGTCTATGTTTGCAAGTCCAGCCCAGGCCTCTGCCCACTGCTCTGCAGCAGGATGGGGGCTGCAGGCAGCAGTCAGGCCCCCTGCTTACCTGGCAGCATGAGACCTGGAGCTCCAAGCCTGGTGAGCACCTCCAGCACCAAGCAAATCACCAACCCCACACCTACCCTCACCAACAGAAATAACCTATAGCCCCAGCCAGGGAGCAAAGACTCACAGCCATGTGCAGCTGAATTGTCTCCCAAAGCCTGTTTTGGGGGTGGGTACTCAGAACAAGGCTGAGATCTTACACTGAACCCCTCCACAGCTGTGCAGGAATAAATCTGGCTGGGGAATTTTAGGGGCTCTTGAAGCCCAGGGGTGACGTTTCCAGATGTGGAAAAAAAATGACACCAAAAAGCACTTAACAGCCTCAAGCAGAAAAAGGAAAGATGGCCCTGAGGCATCTCTGGCCAACATTAACCACTGCCCTCTGCAGAAAACTCCATCTACGTTATAGACAGAACAATTTCCCCCTCACCTTTTAACAGCCTTCATTCTCAATCACAGGCAGCCTAGGCACTGCCTGCACATCACCCTCTTCCCAGCAAGAGAGGACAAATCTCCACCCCACCCAACACAGCACCTTGCCTTGGGAGCTATGACTTCTATCATGTACTGGTACTTTGATGCCAGGAGACAAGGAGCACAGCTTTGAGAGGAGAACAGAGCCCATCTCAGACATGGAAAGAAGGAATGAGGGATAGGAAGGCACGTGAAACTCTTAATGAGGCCCGTGAAGATCTTCAGCTCCTTTCCCCATTCTCATGGTTAGACTGAAACAACGTGAAGAGCTCCAATGGCAAAACAAAGCATTTCCAGAACCGCCACGTGGACAGAGTTGCACGCTTTGCACAGTGACCAAACCCAACCAGAATTGGGAGTGAAACAACACAGTGTCACTACTCACCCTCGGGCCGATGTCCCCTGCTTCACCCTGTGCGTCAGGAGGAACAGCAAAGGTCAGCTGTTAGAGGTCAGATTTCAAACGCGAGGAACCAAGCGCGGGGTCAGCTGGACGAGGGAACAGCACACAGGGGAAGTGGGAACAGTTCTATTGCTTAACGTATTCAAAACCAGGGAGGAGAAGTCTTGGAGACAACACAATAGGGAATGGTTCTGCCCTGGCAGGCGATGAAACATAATAAATCTGAAACAACGGACTGTTTCCAACTTTAAGGCTCCGCTAGCAAATGCTTATGTCCTACATATGCATGGACTAACATCACTTTCTGTACAGTAATGACATTCCCTGGCTGCTCGAATTTCACAGGAGGATGTCATGCAAACAGAGAGATAGAGCCCGCAGCCTTTCAGCTCCTGTGCTGACACAGCTCTATGGCTGAACCAAACCAAGTGGCGATGCCATGCTGTATGGGATGTGCATGGGCAAAGTGAACAAAAAGAATCACAGCAAAACAAGGACATGCAGCGGTTTCTGATTAACTGCATGCTAATATAGTCTTTACCTTTTCCCCTTTTGGTCCTGGAGGCCCCTGAAAAAACATAAGGACAACAAATCAGAAACAGTGGAATCAATGCATACACTCTTACCCCAACATCAAAACCAAGCCGATTGCTTTCACCAGTTCACAAACCTGAGGCATGTAACTATTGCTTTAAGCAGTTTGTTGCTGGACACAAACAGCACACTGCTGGGAAGCAGCAAGGGGGTCTGCCTGCTATGCAGGCGCACAGGAGTGGAGAAGGGCTGGGCAGAGCAGGCAGCGTGACAGCCACTCGGGGGCAGATGATGCTGAATAGATACAAGACATTTCTCGAAGTATTAAATCACTTCTAGAAAAACACATGCTCAGCATATCATTACAACAATTATACATCTGTTTGAAATAAACAAGGAGGATGGGCTGCTTTCTTTGGCCTATTCGCTGAAGACATAAGTCATATTCCTTCTAAACAGCTTTCTGTAAGACATACAGCCAGAGACACACTGCAGCCCCAAAGAGAAGCCGCAGAGCTTTGATGTGCTGCTCTACATCCTTCAAGCACAAGACCATCAAGCATCATTTGCTCAGTCCAGCACACAGCGTGGAAGCAGTGCGGCACGGAAGGAGGCAGGAGGTCAGCAGTGATGCTGGAGCATCTACAGCCTCACGCTGCATCCCTCCTGCTGGTAGCTTGGCTCTGAGCAAACCTGCTGGCCGCTCACTCTTATGGAAGAGATCGTGAGCAGTCTGGTTTGAGTTTGGCCAATCTTAAGTTTGCTTTTTCATTCAGGCTCTCCCTGCTGCTCATCCAGAGGTCTCCCTCCTCCCCTTCAGCCACTTGCATCCCTGTTGGTGAAGGAGTGCAGCGCTGAGGTTTGCATCACTCTTTTAATTATGGTGCTTTGCTAATTCAAAGACAATATAAAAAAAGAAGCAAAAAAAAACCCAACCACAGCTATGAAAAAACATACAACATAAAGCTATAACAAAATATTCCCTAGCTGGCTAGAAATTAGGGTAGTCAAGAAGTTATTCCAGACAAAGACTGAGCGACTTTAGAAAAAAAAATAATCACTTGGTCGAGGACCAAAGCTTGAAAAGATTTCAGATGGTGCCCTCTAGTGAACGTGGAACAAACTGAGACTGGGAAACAAAAACCAGAAGCAGCCACGCCTGCAGCAGTTTTCCAGTGAAAAGACTCAGCACTGACCGGTGCTCAGCCAACACCATCAGTGCGTGTGCGACTGTAAAAATTAGCAAGAGAAGCATAGAGCACTGAGTGTCCACAGGGCTTCTGAGAGAAAAAGAAAGAAAACTCAGGCCCAGGGCTTAAACTTGCACGTGTTACTGATCACAGTGTAATTATCCTAAATGCAATCTGCCCCATAAACAGTTGTACACACAGAAAATATCTGGACTCAGGTTGTATTTGGGATTCTGCCTAGACATGGCACAGCAGTGTGAAGGAAGAGATGACAAGTTCAGCAGGTGCTGCTACTTACTGGTTTGCCATCCAAACCAAGGGGACCCTGAAAAGGGATGGAAGAAACAATATGATTAAAGAATAAAATACTCCAACAATTTACAAACATAGCAGTATCAGTCATGCTCTGAGAGAGACTCTACTCGCATACTGTACAATCCTTGGCTATGTTACTTATACACCTTATCCTTCATGCATGCGATCCAGCAAGAAGGTTTCACAGCAGCTGAGCGAGAGGTGACAACTTGCAGAGCACAAAGAGGTGAGGAAGGAAGCGACAGGGTTAGTGACAGGGGCACGTGGTTCTGGCACAGCACTCAGGACTACCTCAGGTTTTTAAGGACTAAGAACTGCTCTGGTTAAACTGATGGGGTCCCAGGAGTGATTCACCACAGGCTTGGAGCAGGATGCGGTGTTCTGCTTTGTCCAAAGGACGTGCTAAAGCTCTGCTGTACTCTGTGGGGAGCACCCATCCCCCCCAGATCACAGTGGGAAGCCTCATGGATGGGGCCAGGTGTCTCACTGGTGAGGAAGGAAGGGTACATCCATCCCACAGATCTTATGTGCTTGTCCCATCAGCAGCAGCACTCCACCAGAAATACAGCTGTATTTGCAGGACCAAGCTCTGGGCTACCCCAGCTCTCCCTTTCCTAGCACTGCTGCAGGAGCGTGTGGTTGATCAATGTGTGCAGCTATTTACATTTAACAGTAAATCCAAGGAGAACTGCATTTTCCCTCTCCTCTACCTGCAGCCTAGGCTCTTAAAGCCTCTCCTCACATAGACAACTCAGCCTGGAAATGTTTCCCAAAGAAATAAGACACGATGGCTGCAAGTCCACAAAGTGCTCAGGCTCCTTCTTGCACCACAGACCCCCCCAGCCCAGGCTGACAAGGGCTCCAGGCAGAACCCAGGGCTGTGCCAGATGTCCCCACAGCATCTTTGGCTTTGCAGCCTAGAGGACCTACTGAAGCACACACCCTCTAGATGGTTGCATAACACAACAATAAAGAGTCAAAGTTTTCTGTATTAGGGAACTGTTTAGGGTGAACTTTTTCTGAGTTTAGTTTAAATCTATGATGCTGAAATGGAGATTAAAAAGAAAAAAAAAAAAACAGAAGAAAAAAAAAAAGAGATATTTGTAAGAGAACTAAAGTCTGCATTAAAAATAATGTGCCCGTCTCCCAGCTCCAGCTGTCAGTAAGGAATAAATCAGCCTGCAGTAGCAGTACTGCCAGGCTTGGAGTGTTAAACCCCAGGTCTGCATGGCTCTGTTGGATGAGAGACAAACCCAGAGGGGTGGGGGAGCAGTGCCCAGGATATTCACCTGAAAACAACAGGCATCCCTGCACACCTGAGTTTTTGGAAGCTACCAAACCCTGATTATCTACGTACTGTATGTTATTTATGACGAACTACCAGCATATAAATGTCAATACACAAAAGTGTTGATGAAAGATACGAGCGAACTTAGCAGCGTCCACTGATACGGGCTTGTGTACCACAGCCAAACTACTCCTTCCCTGACAGATATCACTCTGCACTTTAGTTCAGCATACTTTCTTCACATCAGAGTGATTGGGAAAGGTGTCAGGTCTGCCAAATTTCCCTCCTGAAGCTACAATTGCTGGAGCTGTTTGACCTGAATCTCCCAATGCAGCTACGGGGGACCTCCAGAGGAAAAACATGGGACCTGAGCAGGGAACTCACAGCACATCCAAGTTCTCAACAAAACAGAAGTCCCACGGATTTAAAAAATAAAATAAATTTATAATAGCAATTCATCAGCTTCTAGCTATTCTTGTATCAGTCCACAAAGGGACATCCAGAAGGAAAAACAATAGCCTATTCAAAGAATGTTTGTTTGAGGGAAAGCATTTAATGCTCAAGAGAAACAATATCCATTGGGCTTTCAAAGGGGCTCTGGGCCAGCCGCTCCGCTGAGCGGACAACGCCGTAAGTTAGGCTCGTAAACGCTCATCAGTTCAGGCTGAGGTCTGATGGGCTGAGCCCAACCTGCCCAGCCAGCAGCCCATGGCAGAAGGCCCCGAGCAGTCATGGAGCTTCTGGGGTAAAGGAAGAGACCACACTGGAGGTGTGGGTGTGCTCCGTGGAGAGCCTGCAACATTCAGAAGCGCCCAAGTGTTGAGATCATGATTCTCCCTTCCTTGAATTCTGGTCCATGTCATTTTAATTAAAGATGAAGCAATGTTTAGTTTAGTTGATAACTAAGGAACAGAAAAACAACTCCCTGTTCTCCAATCAAAAACCAACTCTAGAGAAGCTTTCATTTTGGAGGGGACAAAAACCACACTTCAACAACCAACAAAGAGCTTAAAAGAAGGGCGAGCGTTCCGTACACCCCACAACAGAGCCAAAGCAATAGGAAGCTTGCAGAGTTGTGCTGCGATTTTTGCCAGGGATAAGTTTCACTCCTGTCCTTGCCCATGCTCTACTACAAGCCTTCTGCTCCTAATCACACAGTGAAAACACTTTACATAATTCAACACTCACAAAGTTGAGAGACGATGAACCATTTTGTCTACAACAAGCCTGATGCTTTGAGACTGAGTAGAGAAAAAATGTCATCAGCTTTTCTTCAAACGAGGATCTGACCAAAACCATCAGTGCAGTGACAAAGTGGGACAAAACCCATCAATTCCAAGCAATTTGAGCAAGCCAGCACTGGTGTGGTCCCAGCTGGGCACCAGCACAGCCACTGAGTGAACACTGGAGCCACTGATTGCTGGTAAGTAACTCAGATCTCATTTTCTGATCACACACCAGTAAGGACCACCTGCATTCAGCACTAGGTCAGCATAGCTCTGCAGGACATCACCAACATTTGAAGGGAAAGGAGGAAATGTTCCTGTCAGATTGATAAAGAAAACACATCTGCAACATCTGGCCAGAGCCACGCTGGAGCATGGGAGGCGAGGAGATGGGTCAGCAGGAGCAGAGGTGAGAGGTACTGCAGTTGCACTCCCAGACAGTAACACCCATCACACAAAGACATGATTTATGTGCTAGCTGAGAGCACAGACCTGTGCCAGGTGAGATGCCAGAGCATAAGTGCAGTTTGCTACTGCTTCATGCGCTCTCACTGTCTGCCTTGATTTGGTCACACATTTCAGCTTTAGTGCCCTATCACAGTTTTAAAGAACATGATATTTTTGGTGTTTGTTTCACAGTAGAAGCTCAGGAGGGTCAAGACACAGCACCAAAATACCTCACTTTTGCAGTGACAGCTGATTCACTCAATGCTGAGAGCCACCAAAGGCTTAGGAACAATTAGAAAACACGTCAAGCTTACAAGCTCTGATCCCAAAAGCAAACACTCATGGATTAAATAATGAACATTTCCCCTGCACATCCCTTACCCCGCTCAGGGGGAGGCTGGGTGCCAGCCAGGCTGACCTCCTGCCTTCCTCCTCCATCACTGATGCTGTTGGGGATGGATTTGCTTCAGCAATACTGCAGGAATGTTAGGGGCAAAATATCGAGTGAAAACAAAGCCAGAGATTACTAAAAGGCCAACCCTTCCGAGTTGGGAAATCTTCTCTCGTGGTTATTTTTAATGTTTCCTGCTCTGCTAAAAATTAGCATGGAGGTCGGAAGGAACCCTGCAGTCAAATTTTCATGGATTCAAAGGACTGCCTTCAATCTCTGTCTCTGTGGTTTAGAAGAATAGTAAAATCTTACATTTGAGAAGGAGAAAATTGTCAGAACAAAAGGGCACAGCAGTATTTTAGCACTATCACCAAGGGCCTGGGATCACTGAGTGCTGCTGAGCCTCTTTCTGCTCCATCCACCACCACCACCGCTCCAGGAATCACTGGCCCTTCCAAGCAGCAGCACTTACATACACGTGAGGAACCCATGGGAAGGGTTACCTACAACACCTCTGCAGGTGATGGCTGAGTCCAGACAGATCCCTTTTGGCCGTTCCTTCTATGAGATCTGTTGGTATGCTAATTAACAACCTTTGCTAATAACGTGCTTCAGATGGAACTACATCCTTGCAGCCACAGCTGAAGGCAGCAAATCCCCAGTAGAGGGCTCAGACAGAGGATGCAGAGCAGCAGCCTGATAAGGGCCAGGCGTGTGTTAACCAACCAAAAAAAAAATTGTGTTCTATTTAAAAATTTTTTTTAAAAATCCTCATATTGCTGGGCAGCCTTACGTCCATTCTTTGACAGAAACAAAGCAGAAATGAGCAGCAATGTGCTAAGAGCTTCACCCATAATGCAAACCAGAGCGTGGGGCTCTGCAGGAGAGCTGCCACTCCGCAGGCTGGGCTGTGCCATGCAAGCTGCCCGCCACCCAACGTCCTCTGCAAGGGGATCCCAGTGCGGATATCAGTGCTTACAAGGGTTCCTGAAATCCTTCAAAAATACAAAATAAAACAGGAAGGAGGAAAAAAAAAAAAGCAGCCCTGGCACTCTTCCGAGGGTCTTTTGGAGCAGTACTGGACCCTACTCATCGTTCAGTTCCTTCTGGGCACCACCAGCGCAGGCTCACTGCAGCACTTTGCTCCCAGCTCCCTTCCCAGATGCACCAACAATGTTCATCAGGGGTTCATTATAGAGGTAAGAGACCTTTTCCCCTTCAGTATCTGCCTTTAAGATAGAACTCCAGCACAAGTCTCCTTCCATCTCCTCACAGGACTCCCTCATTGCTTCGCTAGGCATCTTTCCAAAGATGCCTGGAAGTAAATTTGATGTTAAGCAGCGCAAAGGGATGGAAACAAATCACTGCACAGGCGCAGCACCAGATATCGCCTCAACTCCTGAACCTGCTTAGACGAATCACAAAGAAATGTCCCAAGAGAGACATGGGTTCACCCACTCCTTCCAGCACACAGGGAAGCAGAGAAGCCCTAAAGTTGCCTGCCCTGATGCGTGGGCCAGTTCCTGCTCCTCCACACTCTTGTACAATTGCACGAGATTGTGTCATCTGCTGCTGAGCACCAGGTCAGGAGCGAGAGCTCATCTGTGCATCACATGGCACCAGTTTGCTTCCAGAACAACAAAGTGCTTTTTATGGAA